AAAATCATTTTAGTTTGATAATCTGTTTTATGATGTGAATCTATAAAAATATATGAAATCAAAAGTGAAAAAATTATTTATAATTTTATAATAAAAAAATGTGTATTTAACTATTTCTTATTCGTGTTTTTCATAATTTTTCCTTTAGAAAAAAGATTTATCCTTGTTAATCCATGGAGTATTATCTAAAAAGAAAATTAAATAATTTTTTTTAAAAACAACTTTAGTATTTTATAAGATTGTGTCGAAAAACATAAACAATAATTATTAAAAGCCTACACGAAATTAAGCAAATTATTTTTTTATTTAATGTTAATGAGAATATCGATTTTTGAAAAAATATGAATTTAATTTTTATATAATTATTTACAAAAGAATGAATAATATTAAAATAAAAACTATACTTGAGTTGAATCATTGAGCGGTTAAACCAAAACATAATTTTAATTATTTAGTTTTAAATAAGTTAATTTTAAAATATTCAAAAATAAATAAATAAATAATAAATGCTTAGTGTAGTAGTAGTTGCATAGTTAACTTCTAAAAAACAACGATTCAATATTTTTTTATACATCATAACTATACTAAGTGAGTTTAGACTTTTCAATCTAAAACAAAAAATACTATAAAAAAATTAACTTGCAAGGAATCTATTGACTAAATTTGAAGTTAATAGACTAAAATAAAAATTATTACAAATTTGATTTCGATTAATTTTGATTATATAAAGAAGAAACAAATTAATAAAACATGTTAATACTTTTTTTCCTCCTTTTTAAATATTTTTTTTTATTTCTATGTTCCGCATGGCTAGTCCTTGAATACGAGCCTCCCGCGCAAAGCAACCATCTTCTTTTTATTTTTCACATTTTACTTTCAACTATTAATTAATTAATTTGAGCTTTTTTTCTGAGAAAAAACCAAGAAAAAATTATTTAAAATACATTTTTAATCTAAAAATGTATTTTAGATAAATTATATATATTAATCATGCCACTATAATTTAAAAATTATCTAAATCTATTTTTCAAAGAAAAAATAATCATATTCTAAAAATTTATTCCAAAATTCATACATATAGAAAAATAAATCAAAACTATCAATAAATATAATTTAAAATTAATTGGATGAGAATTTTTTAAAAAAAATAACAAATTAAAGTAGTAAATTTTAAATAATAAAAATAATTAACGAAAAACACTAAAACAAAATGGTACTAAATCACAATATAATTAAAGTTTGAAATTGAAAAAAAAATGAAAAATGAAAAATTAATGTAGTAAATTTTAAATAATATAAGAAAATTGAGAAAAAATTATTTGAAATACACTTTTAATCTGAAAATGTATTTCAAAAAAATTATATATATATCAATTTAAAAATTATCTAAATCTATATTTCAAAAGAAAAAAAATCATGTTCTAAGAATTTATTCCAAAATCCATACATATAAAAAATTAAATCAAAACTGTCAATATATATAATTTTAAATTAATTGAATGAGAATTTAAAAAAAATGACAAATTAAAGTAGTAAATTTTAAATAATAAAAATAATTAACAAAAAAAAAACTAAAACAAAATAGACCAAATCAAAATATAATTAAAGTTTGAAATTAAAAAAAATTATAAATTAACGTAGTAAATTTTAAATAATATCAAAAAAATCGAGAAAAATTATTTGGAATACATTTTTAATCTAAAAATTTATTTAAAAAGAATTATATATATTAATCATTCCACTATAATTTAAAAATTATCTAAATCTATTTTTCAAAAGAAAAATAATCATGTTGTAAAAATTTATTTTCAAAATCCATACATATAGAAAAACAAAGCAAAAGCTGTCAAGTAAATATAATTTTAAATTAATTGGATGAGAATTTAAAAAAAAATGATAAATTAAAGTAGTAAATTTTAAATAATAAAAATAATTAAAAAAATACTAAAAAAAAATAGGACCAAATCACAATATAATTAAAGTTTGAAATTGAAAAAGAAAAGAAATTTTTTTTTAAAAAAAGACAAATTAAAGTAGTAAATTTTAAATAATAAAAATAATTAACAAATTAAAGTTTGAAATTGAAAAAAAGAAGATAGTTTAAAAAAAGGACAAATTAAAGTAGTTAATTTTAAATAATTAAAATAATTAAAACAAAATGGGATTAAATCACAATACAATTAAAGTTTAAAATTGAAAAAAAAAGTATAAAAAACCAAGGACCAAAGTGTTACAAAAGTAACATAAATAGTGAAAGGAATAGTGATTTGTGAGAGCATGAATAATGATTTATGAGTGTGTAAATAGTGTTTCAAATAGTGATATAAATAATAAAACATGATTTTACTTTAATTTTTTTTTAGTAATTAGTCACCGCGTGCATTTATACTTTTTAAATTTTTAGTTATGTTCAAACCGTCTATTCTATTTTTGGAGTCTACCAATCCTTCTACTTAAATCTTTAAGGCTTTTTAACCCTTTCTTCCTTTTCTATAATTCGAATCCTTTAATTTGATTCACGTGGAGACTTCACTAATTCTAGTCTGTTTAGAAATAATCAAATTCCTCACTATTATATTAATTTGGTCATACTAGCCATTTGGACAATAAATTAAACTTAACTAGTAAAATGAAATATAAAATAAAAGACTTAGCTATTATTAGGTTACATTAACTAATAAAATAAATCATATAAAATTATTAAAACTATTAAATCTTTCCTTTTATGCTTTATTTAAAATAAAGCATAAAAATTGAAAATTATTAAAAAATTATTAGAATAGGTTTTATAATTTCTTATCCTTTATTTATTAGTTAAGTCCAATTTATTATTAAAGGTTTAGCTTAATCGAATTCGTATAGTTGAGGGGTATCTAATGATTTTTAGCTAGCTACATGTTCATATTTGATTGGTCAAGAATTGATCAACTGATAGCATTAGTCAAACTAATGGACTTCAGCAATGGAGATAGATAAAAAGATTAAACAGTCTCAAGAGTTTAAATAGACGAGTTGGGATGATCCAAAATAGAGTACAGCATTCAATATGATTAAAAGTTCAAAGTATAAGGCCTGAAGTGATTTTATTTATTTATTTTTTATTTATTTTATTATTATTATTTTTTTTTTTTTTGCCTTTTGAATGGTTAGGTATCTATCCTTTTAAAAACAAATAGGTTTTGCTCATATATGGTTCTTACACTCTTCGAATTATTTTAATTGAGATTATACACTTTTTCTCATGTTGATGAGTCCATCTACTCTTTATTTTGTTTTATTTTTATTCCCCTGTTATAACGTTGTTAGTTGTGAGCTGATATGACACATTTATTTCTAAAATCATGACATGATCTCAATAAAAGAGTTCAATCAAAAAAAGATTCAAAGAGTTCATTATTCACATTATTATTTTTTCTTTTTTTAGTTTTTATGTTATTGTGTTTTTAGAATCACCTTTGAACGCTGCAAAACTTGTCATATGTGAGTTTCATTATAGTAAAATTTTAAATAGTAATTAAAAAATTATTATAATTATGTAAAAATAATAAAATGCATACAAAACAAATCTAACATGCAATTAAAAAAATAGAATGAAAATATATTCATCAAAATTAAAATGAAAACGATAATAATATTGACTAATAACTAATTATCTATATCAAAGAAGAATATCCCTATTTTCACTTGGAAATCTTTGAGTTGTTTTAATTGTGTTATTCTATTAAGATTCTATGTATGATACGCATCATATTTTAAAGAATAGACATGCCACATTAGCTCACAACTAACGGTGTTATAATAGAAAGACAATAACAAACTAAAACAAAGAGTACGAAACTCATCCAATATAAAAAAATAATACAAAGTCTAGATCAAAACAATTTGAAGAGCAAATGAATCATGTAAAGGCAAAATCCAAAAACAAACAACATAAACACTTGCTACACATTAAAAAAAAAAAAAAAAAGTAATAATGATGATGGTAATGGCCAGCGTAAGAAAATAATAATAATTATTATTATTTATGGTGAAATTTTTTTAGACTAAATAATTTAAACCTCTTCTTGATTTTAAATCTTTTGAAAGTCATTTTTTTAACTTTTAATTTCTAATTGAACCTTCTTTCAACTATTTTTCATTTGAAATTGAGTTTTTTTTTTGGGTATTCATCAATTTTAACTATAGAACTATACATAATTTGCATGTGATTGACTCTACAACCTCTCCAACAGATAAAAATATGTCAAAAATTATGAGTACTTTGTTTTTTTTTTTTTCAAAACTTATTTCTTTCTTTCTAAATGTTCTTTAATTACTTATGAACAATTACACTTATATGTTAAAATTGATGAAAATCTAACAAAAAAATTTGATCTCAAATGAAAAATGGTTGGAAAGAGATCCAATTTGAAATTAAAAGTTGAGGAAACGATTTTTAAATGAATTAAAATTCAAAGAATTTTTGTACCGTTTAGCCCTTCTATTCAAACCACCATACTTTTGACAGAATATTGATGGAAGAGCAATGTGGACACTATTAATTAACATCAAAGATAAAACTGACTCTAAAATATAACATCAGTAACACACATTTACGTCAGTGGCATTTTTGCTACTAACCCTTTTATGAACTCTTTTTAGAGAATTCAAGCGTTGCTCTTAGTCTTGGAATTCTCTAGAAGAATTCAAACACTGCTCTTAATTTTGAAACTATAACCACTTTGATCATCGTTGTACTTAATTATCCCAAAGTATGACACCCCCATATTTTGAAGAAGCCTTCACAAAAGGTAACACCTGTGATGTGAGCTGATTTGTTGGCTCACAACGGCTGCTGGTAGTCCAACAAAAAACTTACTAGCTGTAATAGATGATGTCCATTGTTCCAAGATTTCCTAAATGTCAGGATTGCTTGAACTATACTCACAAGGCTGGTTGTCATAAAATTGAATCTAACATAGTCAAATAGCCCTGTTGAAAGTGCACCATTGAGCCAGTGATCAAGGAACGGACATTGTGGTGCAGCTGCTAAAGTACACTTTTTTGCCTCCTTGCCGTCGCTCGGACAATTTTCGAGCAAGTGCAGCATAGGCAGTTCCACGTTGCTCGATGTCAAAATCAATACCGTCCACTATAGCATCATCTAGCAGTTGCGAAATTGATTGCCCTCCAAGGAAGTTTTCCCATAGATAGTCCGCGACACTCCTAGCACCATCAATCGATGAGAAGGAGTAGCTACCAGCACCATATCCAACACAAAGCATAAACTACACGCCTTGATTTCGGCAATTTTAATGCCTCAAGAGAATTTTTGGCAACCATTTGAAGCTGGATCATACTGACCAGCTAAATTGAGTTGTGGTGTTTAGTAATAAAATGTTGAGAGGAAAGCTTTTTTAACAATATGGTGTTTTCCTAGGGCACGTGTCAGTGAAAGTGCCTTCCTTCTCATCTTGGCCTCAGTAGACTGCTATGCCTCCAGCATCTGATTTGAGAACTAAGGAAAGCAGCACAAGCAGTGAGAGGGTGCGGTTCCTGAATGGAGTTTAGTGGTCATTGTTGCAACCAAAGGAAAGAACATGAGGGTATGTCTTGGCTGTGAGCCAATGCACGGTATATGCTTGTATATATGTCGAATTGGAAGTCAAACAGAAGTTAGGCAAGTGCTTAACTGTCGAACCTCGAACATGTCAGGTTGTATTTATTTCACCAGTGTATTTTCGGTTTGGCTGAGGACCTGACTACGTAAACACTCTCGTCACGAGCCCTTGGTCATTAGGGTGAAGAGAAAACGATGGTTAAATTAACCATGACCACTTTAAACAAAGACGTCTTTTTTTTTTTTTTTTTTTCAGCCACGAGACATTTGTTGAGAACTATGAATTCTCAAAACCATTAAAACTTAACCGTGATCACTTCATAGGAAAATCAATTTGATAGTTAATGTAGGCAAATTGACACGATTGGCTTTGATGCAGGCAACCAGAAGTTTCCATGTTTGCAAGCGGTTACATAGTTTTTGTTGTCTGTATGCCTCAATAGCTAATTTGAAATAAGCAGATATGGAATTGTTGACCATGTCTTTATGCATTTTCTATTTTGTTTGTTATTATTTTGTAACTAGGAAGCGTGGTAGTTAGTTGCTATTCTCCAGTAGTGAGTTGGCTAGTTGTTTATATCATATTTATAGGGATTTTAGTTAAGAAGTTTGTGTATTTAAGGATGTTTTGTAATTCTGGAAAAGGCATCAGCTGTTTTCATCCTTTCCAGTTTTTATTCCTACTATTTTTCTGTTTTCGTTTGATCTCCTGAGTCCAACAGTTTTCTATCAAAAAATCAAGGAGGGCAACATGCGCCAAAAAAATTTCACCTTCTAGTAGTACATCACAGAGAAATGATGCTTGACCTTGATTTTGAACCGTCTTTCTATAATAAACTGAATAATAACTTGCCCCCAAAGTAAAATTCCGGTGCCTGTCGCAGTCACCTTGCATCGTGATCAGCTGAGGAAAGGAAGTAGTTTCGAGCCATCATATTCCATGCATGGCTCAAACCAGTGCACCTGGTAGAATCACAATGGTCGCTTAGGTTGATCACTGATGTCTGGCCAACCCCAAATGTAGCTAGGAAAGCCATGAACACAATAACATAATTGCCCCGAGGCACAAGCATGCATCAACCAAGCTGCCCTCGTTTACATTTTGCGCTGCTAAACAGAGATCAATAAAGCCCTACAATGGCATTATTTCAGCCCAATCCTTAAGGTTGGGTTTGGAATGACATTCAGAATAGAAAGTAAAAGACCAGATATGAAAGGACAGATCAGGGACAAAGTTCACAAAACTACTTTGTGTTCGATATGATAAATAATACATACGTTTTCGTTCTTTTCTTTATTTGATGTCGTGAGAGAAAACAGAATAAAACACCCTGAAAGTCTGTTTTATACTTATATGTGTTTGTTATTCATGTTATATTTGGTATATGTTTTAGATACTTTTTACTTGTTATTTCTTTTAAATAGTTATAAAGGTTAAATTTCTTTCACTCAATAAGAAAACATTATAGCTTATAGTAAAATGAATGTACATTCATTCTTGTATTCTTTTATCTTCTTATATTTGTATCATGGAAAACAAGATGGATATTTTTTTATTTATTTCACTACATTTTGAATATCTTACTTTCATTATATTTTTTTCGTTAAAAAAAATTACTTAAAAATGACATCATAATCAAATAAAAATAGATTGATAACAAATATAAACTTATGGTAGATTTTTATAATATGCATAAGTGATTAAAATTTAAAATAAGAAGTTCAAAAGAGAAAAATATTTAAATATAATGCAATTTTCAGGAAAAAAAAAATAGAAAATGAAAAAAACGAAAGAAAACAAACTTGGCTTTGAGTTGAGCCCACCCGCACCTGGGCTAATTCTAGCCCAGCCCTTAAATTTAAAAAAAAAAAAAAAAAAAAAAAAAAAAAAAAAAAAACAAGACAATCCAACGTTCCCTTCCATCTCTGGTATGCTGAATTTCGACGAATTAAGCCCATTCCGGCAAAAACCCAAGGGAAATTTTAAAGCTTCTGATTTCTGCATCGTTTCACTCGAAAACGATTATAAAAAAAAATCCCACTATTCTTATTTATAAACACAAATCTAATGTCAAAAATCATTTTTAAACAACAAATCAACCTAATATTAGATTCGAAAGTTTCTAGATCTAAGACTTCAAATCCAAATATACTTCATTCCTAGCAATGAAATGTTAAATTTTTTTGTTTATGAATTTATAACGATAAGAGCTTTCATTGGATGGTGGTATTGAACAATGCCTGGATAGTTAGATCGCCAAAAAGTCTCTCTCCCATTTATTTTCTTGTATTTTAAAATTTTTAGCTTTTTGACTTTTTTTTAAGAGAGGGGGGGGGGGGGTTGGGGTGGGGGGTTGGGTTGGGGTTAAGCAAATCCAATTATCAAAAATAGTTCACCCAAAATGAATAGCTAAGATTGATAAGCGTAGAGCATGAGTAAATATTTTAAAAAGTTTATAAACGTACAGTAAGAATAAAATTTCATGCTTCCGTCTCCGTCAAGCAAAAAAAAAAAAAAAAAAAAACAATTTAGCTCATCTCTGTCCAGAGACAGGCAAAATGGCTTTAGTGTCCATCTTTGTAAACCATACATTTTGTACCTTGTGTCTTGTATGCCATTCCAAACTCAGCCCAAGTTCAGGCGTGACAATGAATTTGAGGAATTAGAAACATAGGGTGCATCTGAATTCTGAAGAGCACCACCAAAATCCACAGTACATTATTAGTGGCTACTCAGACACAATACATGTTATTCAGCTATTTGCTTCATAAGCTGTTACGGCCAAGATCACCTTTTGGAGGACCAGAAACTAAATTTCGCTCACTTTAAAATGAGAAGAGTCGCTTTAGGTATGGCAGCACAGACCATTCTCAAACCTAGAGAGGATGCGCCTAAGTATTATCTCGCCTAGTGATTCCCATTTCATTTTCGTCTATTCACTTTAATTTCTCTAATTCCATCCTGCTCCACTAACTAGGACATAAAGTTGCTTACTTCGCTGTTTCTCATAAACCAGGCACTATGTGTCAAAAAGTTGACTTGGACTATTGGAGCAGGTCATAGAGCTTGAGGCTAGAGCCCCTTGATAGGGCATCAAATTATGGGTCTGAGGACAGTTTCGGGAGCATATTGATTCTCTACGCCCCATTCCTTACTAATAACGAAGAGAGCAAGATGGAAATTATTATTACTAGACAGAATAAAAATATAAATTAAATACCTAGAACAAAATTTTTAATCAGCATGCCTGACTTTGTACACCATTCTCGTCATTGACCATCTTTGGTAGCAAAGGCAATGAAGTTCACAGAAATATCATCCGATAGAGACCACCGCCCAGTCAAGGGGTTGTAAGCAAATCCAGCCATTTCTTTAACCTGGAGAGCATCAAACCCAAAGAAATAAGGATTTACTAAGAAGCAGAGAAACAGTAGTAGACGTCAAAATGTCAAAAGGGAAAGCATCCATCTTACATTGATAGAAGCACGCTGTAGGATAAGTACCAGTTCCTCAGGAGTAAGAAAACTTGACCATTGATGTGTGCCTTTAGGAAGCTGTAAAGCAGCAGTTATTAATAACAAAACAAAGCAAACAAAAGAAGGGCAGAATCAAACTATATTACATCGATGTATTACTTTCAGAAATTTTGGGAAGCCTAAAAGCTTGGCACCACACCACAGCCACCAACACCAAAAACGATAAGAAACTTGCATGCACTAGATATTCTTAGACATAAAGCCACATACTTCACTGTAGGAAAAAGAAACGAGTCATAAAATGCTTCCACAGTTCCACTGCCAGCAAAAACTGTGGGAGTTTGGATTAGGTTTCTCATCTGTTAATATCACACCTCTTACTCTGAAACAATTTTTTATGGGACGTACTCATCTGCAGTAAACATCTAAACCCTGTAACACTTTGATACCACGTATAGTATGGATCAAGTTCATGTTAACTAAAAAGTTGGAATGTCCACAACCTAAAAATATAAGTGCAACTATATCAGGGAAAATTTTATGAGAACCTGATGTGAAGCATAAATAATTTTGAATAACATTGAAAATAATTGTCTCCACTATACACAGAGCACTGTTGAAATTAACATTCTGCTAAGTACCAATCATTATAGAGATGAATATCCAAACAAAAAGTAGGTGAAAATACATGGAGTAACTGAGATATTTAACAGATGCAATAAAAATAACACATGTTCTGAAGAATCAGCAAGTGCAATAAATAAGGTAAATGATTTACAAGTAAGCAAGGATCTCCACATGGATATTAACAACATGCACAAAGATGCCAAAATGAGCGAGAATCATACCCAATGGAGAAGGTACTCTGCTGCAAGAATGGCAGTTGCATACGCTCTCATAGAACGGTTAATTGTTGATAACACAGTGGCTCCACCAGGATAAGTCAGTGCTGAAAGAGACTTGCAGAATTCAGCAGGAGCTGCAACATGCTCGATTACCTTCAAATTAAAAATTATCTATTTACAAACAAATTGGCTGCAAATGCTGACATGATTTGAGAAGAGTTCAACGCAAGGATTATCAGAGATTGATATCTGAGTGTTGTCAAATAGTATCCCTTGGAAGCCTTTTCATCACATCTCCAAAGTCGGCTTCTTAAGTCATTTCAACATTGAATTTGCAGCAATATGATCCATGCCTATATGAGTGGTATACACTATTCGATATGTTCATGCAGCATAGATTAATAAACCGGGCATGATATTTATGTCCTGGCTGAATATGTTTCTTCTACATGCTTGCCGTAACTCAAGCATGTAGCACAACTTCCATTATTGACATTTAGAGGATAATGATCAGCGTAGTCTCTAGACTGAAACAATGCCTATCCCATCTCCTGCAATCATAGCCTGAACAGTTGACAAAGGACAGACTTAAAATTCCAGAAGACTAGAGACAGTCTTCCTAAGAAGATGGTGGGAAATACATGGAGAAAAGCTTTAGGATGGACAATAGAGAAATTTCAGTTTAAAGGCTAAGAATTTTTTTTTAAAAAAAAAATTGGATTAGAAATGGAATTTTATGAGATGAATTGGTGAAAGTTTGATGAGTAAGGGATCGTGATGCCTGCACCTTGTTGATTAAAGTAGCAGAACATAACCTCTTTATGATACTTGCCACCTCTACAGGAAAGCTTGCGTCAAGACGAAGCATTTGGCATCTGGGAAGTAGTTGCCAGTTAAGAGACAACTCTCTTCATGATTAATGTAAAATGCCTTTAGCATCAGCCCTTATTCATGCAAGTCTGGAAACATGCACCTCGGTAACATTACAGACTTAGGTAATAATTAAACTGAAAAGGTTACAGAGAGAGAGAGAGAGACCTAGAGCATGTTGCTAAGCAAAGTAGATTTGTATTAGATAGAATCTTTAAAATAGGCAACTGCAAATGTCTATGCTAGATGCAGAATATTCTTTGGGATCTTAGCTTTCCAAGATAATTATTTTCCTAAATGCAATTATGGTATGAACAGTATTATTCCATCCTACCTTCCATCATTCTGCACAATAGTTCTTGATTAATAGTCAACTCTAGAATTCACCAAAATTATGTATTCTCCATCCCCAGATTCAGAATCAACACTCAAACATATAGCGTAGGAGCAAGACAGGGACAACAAAATATTTGAGTACATTTATTATCATACAAAATTGAAGTGAGATGTGAAATATAAAACTGAGTAAGCTTCTATTATCCACAGCGAAAATCAGAAAGAATGATTATTTGGCCAGATATCAGAGATTTTTTTTTTTTTAAAAAAAATATATATATATAGGATGATTGCTAACCCACACAAGGAACTTCCAGATGGGATCTACATACGTGGCATACTGCATTCTCTGGTTGCGTAAGATATATATATATATATATATATATATATATATAGAGAGAGAGAGAGAGAGAGAGAGAGAGAGTACCTCCAGTGCAATCACAGCATCAAACTTCCTCTGCTCCTCAACTAGCTTTTCTGTCCATGAAAATGTATGTATATAAGGTTCTCCTTTTGTTTATGCAATGATTCTTGTTTCTAAAGGATTTCATGATAATACCGCAGAAAGGAAAATTTGCTCGTAACATAAAGATTACAGATGAAGCAGCATTGGAAGTGGGAAACAAAATATGAGAGATTTCACATGGACAATTGCCTCAAACTTGGAAAAAAAGTCCCAGAGAATATTATGCGAATACTCTGGGAACGTTCAGTCAATAATAACTTCAAATGTGAACTGTCTTGTCTTTTTAATAAATCATAAACATTGAATACAAATTCATGTGAAAGCTTGTAGAGGAGATGACTACTAGAGATTTCAAAGAAAACCTTACTGTTGATGAAATGTAAATGCACCATCAAGGCATGTAAAAGAAGCACTGCAAAGCATGATTAACTTTCTGGAAATCATGGAAACCAAAGTTGCATCATTCAAAAACAAAATTTGGACTAATTAGTGCAACCCATTCAGTTTTTATCCACCAAATTGCTTTACGAGGAGCAAAAAACAACACTAGACTATATTCCCACATATGTACCACCAACTCCAATTCAGAAAAACATGTCATCGTCAATTAGAAAAACAATATTGGCATACCAGCTGTTGTGCAACAGTATTCAATGTTTGAAGTCACTGGATCCAAATCCTGAGTAGATAGATCAAGCAAATATCAGTGTAGAAATCTAAAACAGTCTCTGAACGAAAAGAATAAAATAAGGCATTATTTGAACACTTTGTAAGGATTGTACGATGATTTTGTGCTTAGCAACAGATAACTAACTGCAATAAAAAGTAATAACAAAACTTCAAATTTGAACAATTTAGGGACAAAAATAATGAACATCACATAACTAACAAAGCCAAGACCTTTCTCGTCTTTATTATTATTATTATTATTATTTCTTTTTAGTTGACAAGAAAACCATCACTCCCTTTCTAAGGACCTTGCTCATTAGTAACTCTGGATGTATTTCACATGGTGAGACGACACAAACTCAACGAACCTTTGAACTTTGTAGAATTTGCTAACACGATCTACCACCAACTCCTTCAACAATAAATAGTACTTTGGAATACATGCACCACCTGATTCAGAACAGCCTTGAGGATATTGAATTTTAGAATTTTCGGCTTTCAGTTGGGTATCAAGGTGATGTGATGTACATAAAAATGCAGTTGAGTACTGATTTGTCTAAGAAGGGGATGGGGTGGAAATTACGAGTAAATGTGAGAAATTAAGAGCTGGTCTAATCAAACTACCAAGGACACTCAATATCAGACAGAAAAGGCTTCTTGTTTATGAAACAATTTACTTATGATACTATGTAAGCAACTCCACTACTATCTAAACATGGCATGCATTTGATATGCAAGCATTGGGGCTGACAGTTCTGCCCCAAAATACTCAAACTCTTCACAAGTCTCCCATCCCTTTCCCTGAAGGTACAGGTTTATATCAATTTCAGTGTTGGAGAGTGAGTTAGCACTGATTACAAGGCCAGTTAGCAGTAGCACACCCCAATCAAACGTATTTTCTTATATATTACAATTACATTACACAGGATATACATTCTCATACATACAAATACTAAATAATATCCTATACAATTCATACAGTTGGAGTGGGTTCAGCAATTGCACCTTGCATGCATTAGTGTCTTTCTGTGTGTTTTGACTTTTACTTTTTTCACATAAATAAAAAAAAAGGCAAAGAAATAACGCTTTTCAACAAGTATATGAAGTCAATATAAATGCAAGGAACATTCATGATTGGCAGCAGCATCTCCCTACCCCAATTTGCCTCATTGTTCACTAGTAACTATTAAGGTCCATGCCCCTTATTTGCACACTAATTAGCCAAGACCTTCTTATGTTTGCAGCAATACGCACAAAATACATAATGATCCAGAAAATCATCTCAAAAAGAAAATGATCTCGGTGGTTTAAAATATAAACTAATCATACAGCATGAAGGCGTGCAACATTGATATTTTTCTGCACTGCATCAACTCCTATTACAGTTGCTCCCATCCGAGCTAAAGGCTGAAGAAGAAAATGAAAGAGTCAGTACTATCTCTGCTTGACTTGGAAATAATAAATATAATCATATAATCATATACCAGCATAAAAACTTAAAAACATAGCATACACGCTGGGGACTGTACCAAATCCAGTTATTGGAAATCACAGTAATTTTCTTTCCAAAAATATGAAAAAAAATTAAATTCCTAAGTAGGATATTGAATGATTTGGTGTCCATAAAACCTTGAAATATTTCACAAGCATTTGCCACTTTTTTTTTTTTTTTCAAGACCTCCTTACTAAGCCATAAAGCATGAGAACCAAAAACTAATATTTTCATCTCTCAGTTAATCAAATCTTAGCATATCTACCATTGGTTGCAACAGATTGATATAAATTAGTTTATGAACCCTAAAATTCTTCTTTTGTCAAGACATTGACCATAGATACAATATTCTATGGCTCCATTGTCCCAGCACCACAAGAAAAACAGGAGAGTAAATCTACTAAACTAGACGATATCCTCTTGCAAATTTAAACTAACGGCCAGGACAAACAACAGGAGTCCTTATCCATGCTTGGAACCTAGACGATATCTGAATGGGACACAAGTTCAAAGACAAGCCTTGGCAGTTTCAAACTCGGTCCTTGATAACAACAGACACCCGAGTCCTATTGCCTAGCCTTAACATTTTCAAGATTTTGCTTTGATTTTATCACTTGAATCCTAGACTTGAATTTGAAAGAACCTTGGTTGCTCTAAGGTTAACGCAGTTTCACGCTTTGTTTTCGCATCTGGTCCGAAATGGCTGCAAATTTGGCAAAAACGCAGAGAATTAATCTAGAAAAATAAGTTTACCTCCGAAAGAATTCCACCACCACAACCAACATCAACAATTTTAAGTCCTTCAAAAGGCCTAGCGCAGTTCAGATCCTTACTGAAGCAAATAAAGCGACAAATTAAGAAACGGCAATTCAACAAAACAGATAAGAATACAAGAAATAATAATTTACTCAGAAGCAGTACACGTACCCGAAATGTCTGCAAAGCGTGGAGCGAATGAAAGCGAGTCGTGTAGGGTTCATATTATGCAATGGTTTAAATGGACCTTCTGAATCCCACCTGATCAATAAATCATTAAAAAAACAAACTCAACATCTTGCTGTTGATTGAATCACAGAAAGCTTTGAAAAAAGGAAGTCACTAACCATGTATCAGAAATGGCTGCGAATTTAGCAAGCTCGTGCTGTTTCAAAGACGATGTAGTGGTTTGCGGTTTATTCTTAATAATAACATTGCTATTATTATTATCATCTGGTGTCGAAAGATTCGAAACTGGTTGGTCAGAGAAGAGTCTGGTGGCATTGAGGAATCGGTGATGGCTGCGGTCTCGAGTGATTCGAATATCCTGATTTCGTAGTTTGCTAAGCAGCTTCAAAGTCATGGTGTTTACAATCAAAGACCGACTTCGCTAGGGTGGGGAAAGATGATGTTTTGTTTGTTGAGGAAGAAGGGGAAAACGTCATGTCAAAGTAAACTTTGAAGTTGTGCTTGAACAATACATGTCGTTTGGAAGAGGTGGATATTTTTAATTGTCAAAGTCATTAACTGAATGCAAGCCCAATGGGCTGGTAACTTTTAGGGCGCTGTGTCTAAAATACAGGATTAGCTCTATTATCTGGGCCAACTCAATATCTTATAACCTACTCGAAGGGCCCACGTAGAATTCTAGCTAAATCGACCTTTTTTTCCTTCTTTTTTTTTAGAATCTTAGCTAAATCGAACATAAGTCACGAAACGTGGACGATTAGAACAGGTCATACGTGGCAAGAAAACTCTAGAGAGTTCACCGTTAGTTGTGTTGGCGCGCGAAACATCTCGAAGGAAGAGGAAGGCTTTTTTCTTCTCTTACCGTTCAAAATTCCTCCTTAAAGGTTCCATATAAAAGGCAATATCCAACCCAACTTTAATTGCAGAAAAAACAAATCAAAGTCGATAAAAGAGAACTCTCAGAGCACGAGAATTTAAATCTTTTGTTTTCGGGGTGAGTGGATCGATTGAAGCTGATAACTGAGTCAATTGGATTTGCGGAACCGTGTGGCTGGACTTTTCAATTTCTTTCTGTTGCTTCATTTCAATAAAATGTAAGTGACTGCTCACTTTCCTCCTCCTCTGCAAATGATTGTTTGGGTTTGATTTCATTGTTGTCTGGTGATCTGTGGGAGATTATGGAAATTGTAAGTGATATTTTCGGTTGATTGTTTAATGAATGAATTGTGCCAGCAATTTTATAGGGATTTGGTAACTAATTATGTTTTAATTGTGAATTTGGGTATTTTAATGCACCAGTTTAAGCGAATCTACTTCAAATGCACCAAAATATTCAGGCATAGAAGCTCTTATTGGGACCGTTTAAGATACGAATATTTAATGCTAAAACGGTGGATTTATGATGCATTAGGTTGTTTTTTTCAGAGGCTTTAGGGGGTTTCTTAATTTTAATTCAAGGGTTTCGTTGTTCATAAAGAATACAATTGTTATTCCTAGAAAACAAGATAGGAATTGATCCTTTTTTAAGCTAAATAATAGTCACTAAGAGAATTGAGGACAAGCATTTAACATGAAGTCTTGAACGCATAAAAATTGAAAATTTTATGGTATAATGCAACTTGGTAGTGGGCTTGCGTTTCTGTTGGTTGTTTTGGGATACTGATATGCAACACGATTAAGTATTCAGACTCAACTTGTTCACTATCATTTTTTCATTTTTCTTTCTGTGTTGCTTCTTTCGTATCTGTTATTGCTTACCTCTAGTTGTTTGGTGTTTTCTTTGTCTGCTATGTTCTCTTAACATACTTCTTGATACAAATTTTGGTTCTATGTCCAAGCTGAAGATAATCATTCATGCTCATCTGTGTTTTAATTTTGCAGTTGCATTATACGTCAACCTCTGGTGGTTTTTTGAGTCCGGAATTTCAACCTGATAAAAAACTACCAAGGCTTCTTGGTTTGAATAAGCTTTATCGAAGATGATGCCTGTGTATATATACATGGACTCACACCCCATCCCCGGAGAAGTGCCTCACATGCAGCATTACCATCCAAGCTTTGGGGCTATTCCACCTCATATGCACGTTGATCCATACAAATCTGGTTCTGTCCATGGACATTGGCCTTCTGTGAACAACTTTGGGTACTCAGCTCAATGTCAAGCCTGCTGCGGCCATGGTAACTTCAGTGGTTACTATATTCCTAGACCTCCTTGTCCTCATTTTCCACCATCTCAATATCAGTGCTATGGATATCCTCCGTATCATGAAGCTGTACCTGTACAATATGTCCCTCCTCCACATTATTGGATGGAGCATCCAAGTTATGGTTATGACAAGGTCGTCTCTAGTAACAATCGTTGCTGTGGGTGTCCAAGTCATACCCATAACCACAAGAGTGATGAAAGAGTTAAGGTGGAGGAGCTGGATCCTGAAGTTCAGAAGAAAGAAGCCGACTCTTTGGTTCCATTTCAGGTGAAAAATTACCCATACCCAATTTTGTGGATCCCACCAGACAACATAAAGAATAAAGAACCTAGAAAGCCTGTGGAATCAGAAATGACAAGCAGGGAGAAACTTTCACATGGTACAGAGGCTCCTAAGAGTGTAAAGGCATCCGAGCAGGAACCAAGATGGTGGAATGGCTGGTTTCCTCTTGACATGAAAAGCGCTGAACCTCTTATGCAAGCTGAAGATCAGAAGAGAACTCAAAATCACCAGAATGAGGAGAAAATGCAACAATTTCCGTTTCCTAGATTCTGGCTGCCGCCATACAACAAACAGTATGGCACTGCCAATGAAGATGATGCAGAGACAAATGCATCTCCAAAACCTGTTGACGAGCTGCCTTCTCCTGTCAAGTTCTTTCCAGTGAAACTCCCTGGCAGCAACGATGGCTCTAACAAACTTAAAGTGGTCCAAGACCATTCTAGAGATCAAGTTGGTTCAGAGACAGAGGGGGAAAGAGTAATAAATCAGAAAGGAACTCCTGTTAAACAATTGGAAATGCTTGGGGAGAAGGAAGGTGTTAAGCAGAAAAGCATTCCTGTGGAGCAAATGGAAGCGTTTGGGGAGAAGGAAAATTCTGAAGGTATTGATAAGAGAGGAAGGACTATCTCTTTGATAAATGCAGAAGGTGACAGGACCATTAACGCTTCTGGAACCTGTGCAAAAGGACAATCCTCATCGCCCCCAAAGACATCAAAGTTACCTCCTGTTTGTTTAAGAGTTGACCCATTGCCTAAGAAGAAGAATGGAAGTTCGGGCTCAAGGTCTCCTAGTCCTCCAGGGTCAAAAAGACAGCCGGGGGAGACATCGAAGGACCCTACACAAGTTCAAGATGGTGCTTTAAGTAGCAGCAAGGAGGTAGAAGCAAATAAAAAAGAGGGGAAAGTAGAGGTGGTGGAAAGGAATTCTATCGCAAACAAGGATAGTGAAACAAGGAATGGATCTCAAACTCCCACTCTTATTAATTTTACAGATCCTCAAAAGGAGGTCTTCAGAAGCGCAAAAGCAGAGGAATCTGAAACACATGATGACAAATACGTCAATAAAGAGGATCAAGGAGCAAGAGATGCTGGAGATTTGACAGCTGGGAAAGCAACCAAGTCAAAGGAAGTAACAGATGCTAAAGGAAAAAGGAGATTATCAGATGAAGAAGCAGCCTTGCTTATACAATCAGCTTATCGTGGGTTTGAAGTGAGGAGATGGGAACCGTTGAAGAAATTAAAGCAAATTGCTCAGGTCCGGGTGCAGGTAGCTGAGGTTAAGGATAAGATTCATGCCCTCGAGGCCTCTTCTGACCTCCAGAAAGATCATAGGCAAAGAGTAGTCATTGGAGAAATGATAATGAGCCTTCTCCTGAAATTGGACGCTATCCAGGTATGTATACATGGTAGAACTGCAGATGATATACATTTGTTATTTGAAGCATTTGCAGAGAGAAAGATAGAGAGAAGGAAAAATTGAATTTTTTCTGGATATAATAAGTTATGCAGTAGGAGGATTTGCTGTGCAAATTCAAATTTGTTTGCTTAGCAGCTGTTCTGTGTCCAGTTGCTTCTAGGCACAGCAATGAGTTGTACAATGAGTTAATTTTATGTGTAGCGTTCTGGTCTTACAAAATTTTGGGTACGCACACACTTTATGGAATTAAGTATTCTGATTCAATTCTTGGTTGTTTTGTTCCCCAGGGCTTACAACCAACTCTCAGGGATATCAGGAAATCCTTAGCAAGGGAACTTGTAGCTCTACAGGAGAAGCTTGACTCACTCATCATGGAAAGGTGTGAGGAAACTGCTGAACAGAAAACTTCTGAAGACAATCTCGTTGTTTCCAGCAACACTACGGTAAAGCAAGATGCTCCAAAAATAGAGGCAGGAGAACACCCAAGCTATCTTCTTTCTCAAATGGATGCTTTAGGTGACTCTGAGGATAAAGAAATTACAAAATCTCCTATTCCTGTCAAAGAGGAGCTCAGGAAATCTGAAGATGAAGTTAGGGAGGTGGAAATCAATGGAGGGGCTCATGTGGCAGAACGAGAAAACAAGGTTGGCAGTGGAGAGTTCCTATCTAGTGAAGTTGTAATGACAGAGAATGGACAGGGGGTGATTGTGCCGTCAGCAACAGAACAAACTGTCCTATTCCAATCACAGGCGAGTGACAAAGAGGAGATCAGGAGAACCCTATCTGAGGATATATGTTGTAGTCCACTGAATGAGCAACAATTTGAAGTAACTAAATTGACCAATGTGGAAACTAATCCTGATGTGAATCGAATAGAAGCACCGCTACATGAAATAAGTGGTAAGGTGGCTGCCATTTCTGATGAGGAGGAAGTACGTGGAACAGCAATAGTGGCAATCAAAGATGGTGAGGAGATGAAATCTAATGCATCAACGTCAGCTTCAACTGAAAAAACTTCAGAAGTAAATTTGCTAAAAGAACTTCCATTAGGGCTGATTGATGAAGAAGCACCTGAAAAACGGGAGAATGAAATTCCTAGTGGTGGAGATAACAAAGCAGATACAGAACCATCTTCACAAAATGAGGTGGTTATGATCCCAATTGAGTCGGAGCAACAGTGCATGGAACTGCACAACGAAGGAGCTTCTGCTGCTGAGTCAGAGGATTCAGTGAAGGCTGGCCTTGAAAAGGATAATAGCCATGAAAATGCAATGGTTGGGGTATGTATGCAACAACCAGAAGCATTAGAGGTCCATAATGATGAGCAGCAGGTGGAAGTACTTGGACCGGAAAAGGAGCTATTTTCAGAAGAGCAAGAAGAAAGCAATGAAGAAAAGAACGGTGGAAATGTCCAAACTGAAGACAGCTACTCTTCCGAATTAGCAAACAAGGTGATCTTTTCCCAAGAGAAAGAAGTACTAGCTGAGGAAGAAAAAGACAATGATTTTCAGCCAGAGACAGAGACAGAGACAGATTTTAGAAATGAAGAAATGAAGCTAGAAAGGACGCAATACCATGAGCTGGGAGTCTTGGGTGATCATGACGACATGGGAGATCAGGTGGATGGGTCAGAAACCACCAAGAGTCTGTCTGTGGTTGAACCGCAATTTTCTCCATTGGCTGCAGAGCATGATGAAGAAAAAATAGAGGTACCGCCTGCATCATCCCCTTTCATTGCCAGCCAGCTATCTGCTGATGAACAGGAGATGGGAATGGAAAGTGATAGAAAGCTGGTTGAGGAGAATGAGAAATTGAGAGAAATGATGGAGCGATTAATTGAGACTGGGAAGGATCAGTTGACTGTTATATCCAATCTGACACACAGAGTGAAAGATTTGGAGAAAAAGCTGTCCAAGAAAAAAGCAAGGTCCAGACGGTGGAGGACAGCAACCCCTCCTTCCAATGCAAGACCCTTAGTCAAGTCCCCAAGGAGAGCTGGTGTTGCGGTATAAGCATATTGGATTTTGTGTTGCTTAGTATATGATGACTAATCCGTACGCTCTGGGTAGATATGGATGTCCCCATGCCAAAATCAACAGAGTCCGGTGAATCGAATTCAGGTTTTTTAATGATAATGTGATTTTTCATTTTCTCTTCTAGTTGCAAGTTCTATCATTCTGTATGTATAGCTTTGGCTGTTTGTTTTTGTTGAAAAGGGTCTAGACATGCTATCATCATCGTTGATATCCTTTTATCACTATTAAACACCGCTGAGGTTTGCCTTGTCATCCTTATTGTTTAAATCCTGTATGATTTTTCTCCCCTTATGCTCTCGGTTTCCTGCTCTGTCCGTAGCCAATGGTGAATTTCCCTAGCACTAGACCCGTATTACACTTAATAAAAAAAGCTAAATAGTTATGTATTTCGTTTTCTTTCCCCTCTGATGACATAAATTTGTATGTTTATACAGCTGAATCTGATAAATTAATTGACAGACATGCTTCTAATCATACCTCCAACTTCTGCATGCATCGCTTAGGTAGGTGAACCATCTCTCATCTACCTCGATACCAGAAACATGAAGACTTGTTAATCGTTACTAATGATCGAAACATATTTGAATTCAGCTCTCCATTCTGTAAGAGTTGCGCTTCTATTCGCACATCTGAGCTTAGTACTTTGAAACTTATTATAAGGTTCCCCTTGATTCTTTTCATTGCCGCCTTTTTTATCCTTCTACTTGTCTTATACGCATCCGGCAACTTGAAGGGTAAAAAGCCTGCTAAGCTGACACCTGGTGGCTTGGAGTCAGCACGATTATTTTTTCAGTCTCGGAGAACTTCTATCACAAGAACAACTAATTGTTACATTTTACTAGCATAAGCTTTTGAGTCTGTAGGAAGCGCTCAACGTGACCTCACGTCACCTTTAAGTACGCTGAAGGAAAGCGCTCGAGGGAGAAGTTGAGGACCATGTCATATATCATTCTGAGAATTCGTACTTGATTAATTAGCTGAAGAAGGGGAAGATATGCACTTAAATATCTCGATTTGTAGTTCAATAGAGTTAGCGATGCTAGTGATGCAACCACGGAAGAAAGCCTGCAGGAACGTGAAGCAAAAGATTAACTTCTCTCGGGTATCTTATGGACAGAGACTTTGACACTATGTTTTATTGGTGGCAGTGTGGAGTGGTTACAAAAATTGTGTTGGTCACTTTGAAGTGTAGTGATGTGGTCAAGATCTATTCAGCATCAATTTATGAGAGAGAAATAAACTGGGGGAAATCACAAAAAGAATCTCCTTTTTGGTTGCATTTTTGCCAGTCACAGCACAGACGAAGCGAGTACTTGGTTATATATTTTAATTTTTTCTTTTTGACCTTCCATGTGTTACCTTTCATAAGGTGCTGTAAAACAGATTTCATACAGAATTTTGGTGATTTAATTTGTTCTTGTAAGTTATTCTAACTGTTTCATCTTTTTGCGTTAATAAGCTCCAATTCAAGAAAGATTTATGAAGCTGTTCGAGGTCAGTTTAGTTCTTTTGTATAATGGATACAGTAACTTTGGCTAATATTTGCTAGCTAAGGATAATTTATGATATTTTTTCACGGATAAGCAAGAGACCAAATTCACTTTTGAAAGCCTTTTTTCAAATAGGAAAAAGAAAGTTTTGGTAGGGAAGGTTTTCTTTGTTTGAGGGTCTTACGATAGCAAGAAATTACCAGGACCTAATTATTATTATTATTATTATTATCATTGTTGGAGTCTAATTATAACCAATCCTAGTTCTTCTCAGAAGAAATCTTGATTAATTTGGCTAGTGATTCACTTCCTGGAAGATCACAACCTTGGGAGATCCACTAGTGAGGGCTACTCATTCAACCGATGGGATTTTTAGAAAACATTCTCTCAGGCTTTTATACCAGTCAACTTTCCGTCTCCGGATCTGGAACAGAAATCAGAGTTCACATTATGAGAATGTAACTCCACCCATATATAGCATCATATTTGGTGGAATTTCTAAAGACTGCAATACTGATTCAAATCTTGCTTTAGCAAACCACAAGCTTACAACAAATTTTTCTCGATCAAATTCCTTCATGTTAATCGCTCTTGCTTAACAAAGAAGAACTAGATCAAGAAAGGTTGAGGGAGGAGGAGAAGAAGATTGAGAAGAGAATTTGTATTTGAATTCTATTTCTGTTGTAAATGCTTGAATGCATCTCATTTCCATCTTCTCTCTCTTTGTATGTGATTCTAACTTACTGACTCTAACAGCATTAGCCAGCTAAGCAAGAAACAGTTACACTAACTAATAATTGCCATGTCATTATTTATACAAACTACTTACCAACCCTAATTACAATCCATCCAGCTATCCAAACTTCTCTTTTTCTAGTTAGTTCTGTTTAACACCAATGTGCCCTGTCGCGAATAACTCTTGATCTTCTCGTAGTGGAAAATTAATAGTTCTGGGGATCAAACTACGATCTGCCAGTTTGATGACTGATAAACACGCAAAATGTTGCGTCAATTTGTGGATGCAGCCCGATAGAAAACTTCAAACCAGGGTTACCATGATTGGTTGCTCGAATTTTGCATGGCAAGAAAAGTTTGTCTATACTGTTTCAGAGAATTTTCTTCGTTCCAAGAACCTTTCTGCCGTTCAGTTTGAGGTTTACCGTAAGCACTTCCCAGGCTTGCTAATAGGAACTGCTCCGTGCGACATTAAGTCGTTGTTCAAGGAAAGTAGTACAGATTGCAACCTCCGCTAAGAATTGAGAAGGAAGGAAGATATGATACTGACGACGAATACGTCTCGTATTATGATGATCCTAGATATGATAGTTCGTACGAGTCCAATAAGGATGGTGATACGGATGGGATTAAAGAAGAAACTCCAGAACCTGAGGGATTCAAAGCATCAACTTCTCTTCAGGTTTCTAAGGGTTCGAAATCGAAAGGGGTGCTAAGTTTAGATGCGACTGTGTGGAAGGAATACATCAAGTTTATCGGTAGCACAAAGCGTCAGAACGCACCCCTGTACTATGATGAGTTCATGGGACTTAAAGGGAAACGTGCACAGTATAGGGAGAAGAGAAACCATCACGCTTGGCTGTGTTTTGCCAGTACAAGAAACAAGGAAGATGACTAACTCCGGTACTAATGATCTTCTATACCTCGGTTTCGTGTGTTGTTTTTGCATATGGTAATTAATTTGGACTTTTTTATGTTTCTGGTGTGGAATTGCAAGGGAAATTTAGGAACAAGCTTATCCATGTAATGGAAACTTTACTTCGGTATTACTTGTATATAATTTGGGTTTTCTATGTTGCGTTGGTGATTTCCTTGTAGTAATTGAAGCTACAAAATATTCTTTTTAGCCTTTTTTTTTTTTCTGTGGAAATTGTTCTTCTAGCCGCTCATATGTGCTCTTGTCTAAACCTTCTAAAAATTTAATGATTTAGATAAACCGCATTGATTGTTGCATTAGGACCAATTCTCCAAAAGGAAATTTTAGATCCAAGATTTAGCAAAAACAAGCAGATAATAAGGGCGAAGCGACTTTGCTACCATTCATGTTCTTGTCGACAGTCGCGTCAAATTATATCAAATAACAGCATAAACAAATTTCACTTTCTTTTTTTGAATTTGGTTTTCAATCAACAATTGGGTCGATTTTGGTGGTGTAATCATGTCCAGGTTTGAAGCTGCCCCGTAAATAACGAAACTGGATGAATACAGAAGATGGCCACTGGCCAATATCACTGATGAAATAATCCAAGTGAATTATAAAAAGTTTGTAAAGTTTGTCAATGACTGACTGTCAGTAGAACCGAGAAAGCATCAGCACAAACAAAATAAGCGAGGACGTCTTGGGAATTTGGAAGCATCAAGAAGTTATATCATCAAAAGATTTTCCCATTTTCTTTTTATTCAAATATGCATGGTTGTACGTACATATAGCTTATTGCATGCTTTAGATGCAATATTATGCCTTCATCACACCTATTTTGTATCTTCCGCTCATCAGGAGACCAGAACATGAATCCCAGAAAAGGATGGGTAATCCTCACTACCTTACCACTCTTTAAAGCAGCATGGACTTATGACTGAGACATCCTCCCTTATTTTCCTCTGAAAAAAAAAAAAAAGGAAACAATATTCCAACTAATCATTAGCTGCTTCACCTCCTTGGATCTGCCACGATTTCCTTGTGGAAGAGATTTATTGATTTCCCTTTTGGAGAAGACAAGGTGAACGTAGTTAGAATAAGCGTGGTATCGTCCACTAGGGAGCCAAGCTAGGCGACAGCTCGTTTACTTGGGGGAAACTAGTCTTTAATTTCATAGACGAGTGCAAAACCCAAAATGTCCACAGGAAAGGACGTCTGACCCCAATGAAGCCCAACCCATACTATCTAACAAATTAAAAGCCTAAACACCAATATAAAGCCGTCCCTATCATCTCCCCGTCCTACCGTGTCTCGCACACACCCATCTCCGCTGCAATCGTTTTTGCAGCGACCACCATGTCTAGCCCTTACTTTCTCTTTCGTGTTTCTAACCTCCACCGTTAGTCCCTTTTTCTACTTTCTTGATCAAATACTAACCGTCCATTTCTCATAAAATTTAGAAACTAAGAAAACCATGATTTCCACTTTCTTGATCAAATCACAACTGGACATTCCTTAGGAAAAAAATCAAGAAAGAAACTAAAACAAAAACAAGAAAGTTAGAGAGAGACTTACATGGAGATGAAGGTTCTAGAAATCAACTTGATTTCTGCACAAGGTCTAAAACCGCCATCTGCTAATTTACGCCGGATGCAAACATACGCCGTTGTTTGGATTGACCCTTCCACCAAGCTCCGAACCCGAACAGACCGAGTCGGGTCCGAAAACCCTACTTGGAATGACAAATTCCTCTTTAAAGTCACGCCGGAATACCTCTCCAGTGAAACCTCCGGTTTGTCAATCGAAATATACGCCGTCGGTTGCATCCGAGACGCTCTAATCGGAACCGTCCGTTTTCTTGTCAGTAATCTCCCGCTTTCTTCACTAACTGCCGCGATTACCACGCCTTCTTGTATCGCTCTCCAAATTCGTCGTCCTTCTGGAAGATTCCGCGGTGTGATTAATATTGGGGCGAATGTGATCGACGGCTCTGATTTCTCGGCATTGAATGTAGCATCGGCGATTGGATTTCGTGATCTTATGGGAGAAAGTATTCGGCGTCAGCGGAAGGAGCGTCGGCGTGATACGAAGAATTCAGTCGGCGAGGACGTGAATTACTGTTGTGGTGAATCGGGAGATTTATCGGACGGTAATGATTCAACCACATCTTCATCGTCAACAGCATCAACGGTGCTGAAGGATTGGAATACGGTTAAGGATTTTGCAGGGGCGAATCTTGTTAGGTCTTCATCGGACGGTGGAGGTCTGTTGTGTGGGTTGTTGATGCAGAGGAGGCTTCTTCCTTGTATGTCTGGTCAGAACCTCCAGGCCCATGGTGGATCCCAGAAGGAGAATTAATCGTGGATGTTTTGATGAACGGTCTAGATTGTTTTTTGCGAAACGATTGGTGATTTTGACCTTTTGACCACGATGGTTTGGTTGAAAAGTAGAGCTGTTGCGCGGGGAAGATCATCCATGATGAATTAAGGGAAAAACTAGTCCACGGTGGCGATCGTCTCTCCCTGGAGTCTGGTGCTGTGTTTCTTGATGTATGTATATTTGATGTACTCGATTTTAAATTTTGTAGCCGTTGCATAGCCGCTATTTTTCAAATTTTGGTCTACTAGGTGCAATATTTTGAACCTTTTTTTTTTTTAATGAAAAGTAGTGTTGTTTGTATTTGATTTCTGAGAACATTACAGAGGACAATTAGTAATTAGAGGCATTTTTTTCACTGTTTTTGGTGTCTTCACTCCCTTGTTGATGTCACTGGGGTTTTTTTCACCTTTCAACTGAAGTATAGAAATTTCTTAATGGATAACTTAGGGCAGTGGACCCTGGAATCAGGTTGGACTCTTATAAGCCTATCAAGCGAGAGTCTAATTTGGTAACCGACGAAACCTCATCATAATTTGGTAAATGTGTGTTGATTAACCAAATGGGCTGGTTATGTTAAGTTGATCTTATTTGGTTTCTTTAAAAGTTGCGGTTCATTATTTGGTGGATTCGGTGCCATATGGATTATCAAAGGCCCAGATTTGTGTAGTCCTGACCATGCTTCAATAGTAGAGATATGGAAGGGATTTTGGTCCGAATATCAAAAAATGTCATGTGCCCTATTTGCTGAATTAGTAAATTGAGGTCCTAAGCCAAGGTCCAGAGATTAGAGAAATACCAACCTTGTGAACATGCCATGAGTAAATGAGAAAGAAGTCTCGACGCTAATGAACCAGTTGAAAAATGACAGAGAGGGAACAGACTTCGATTCCGGAGGCCGAGATGATGCCAATGCCTACCTCTAACGTATGATTAGTCTGAAACCCCATCATATACTTGGGTTGGGCTGACAAGGTTTTCGGAAACTTCAAATGCCTACTGACTTGGTTTTTTGCTGGTTTCAGTTAAGAAATTATCAAAACCGAACACGTGGTCCATTGACACAGGGGACAAAGCAGAACAAAATCAGATGTAATGAAGGAGCAGAGAAGGCAGCATGCTTGTTGAATATAGGGGTAGCTGTAGCCCCAGAAGCAGTTGTATAGCACAGAGCACGACGTGATTGATTTGATAAATAAATATTATTATTAGTATTTAATATATCTACAAAAGCCTACCAGCCACGACCAACCAGATATAATATGGAAAAAACTAGTTTTTGGAGGTGATAGTAAATCGGTGTTTGGCAAATCGAGATTTTACAGGAATAAATTATAAATTAATATTTTTCTTTTTGAAAAACGAATTAATTGATAATTTTTATATTAAAAATCAACATCAAGTTTAATTTAATATTATTTTTTATAAATCTTTTTTTTTAATATTTTTTTATATTTTTTAAAAATCAAAATAAATTACAATAAATATAAAAAGGACAAAAAAATAAATAAATAATTTTTGAAACAATTATTGACTAATTAACTCGTTTTCAAAACTAGTAAAACTAATTTTTAAGTTACTCGATTTTACAGTAGCAGGAAGGAAGTAGGACCATTATTTCATTTTCATAAAATGGATGGATATGGTATCTGCGACGTAACGTCTCGGGGCCTCCTTGTTTCTTTTGTGACTTCTCTGGTTATTTCTCGCGCCAATTTACTGCAACCCTCGTTTTTTATAGGGCTCCCTCCTATGTCAAAACTATAAACTCGTGACTTATGATGTCAAAAACCTCTTAACTTGCCTATTATTCGGCCTAATGAAAAAGGTTATGATAGAAAATTGTGGCAGTTTGAGCTCAATGGGCTTATGAAGTACTTGTCTTTGTTTGGTTCTTCACTCCTATCCAATGTAATCTGATCTGCAGGAGTAATTATCCTGCAGCAATGATTGGTGTCTGGAAAAAGAATGTTCATAGTTTATACAGGTCCCATGTGATTTTATTGTGCGATTCATTTTGCTCCCCCGTGCAATACAGTAGATACACTCATTGTATACCTGTCCTTTGCACAGGTATAATGCATGCACAAGCAAGAAGATTTACCAATTACAAAAAGAGTCATCATGTAAAATCGGTTTAAAAAGTAAATGGATCAAGCATCTTTTGAGCTAAATGGATTAATTTTTTCTTAAACTTTAATTTATTTAAAAATAGTTCAGTAGTTCAAACTTCTCGTAAATTTTAATTTCTTTAAAATTGAGTTCGTAGACTTTAAATTTGATTTTTGAGATATTTTAATTTTTTAAAATTTAATCCATTTTTCATTTTTTTTTCATTTATTATAAATGAAAAATAACAATCATACAAATAACTTCATGATGGAAATCATTTAGTAAGATTTATATGAAACTCCTCAAAAAAATGTGAGATCATTATGGATTATTTTGTATTTTTTCATGTTTTTCATATTTTTAATGTTAAAAAAATAAAAAAATATACTTTTTGATTTTCAAACATTCTAGAATTTTTTTTAAAAAAAATAGATTGATTTTTTGCCAATATGTGTGCAAAACTTCAATTCAAAATACCAAAAATTATTTTTTTTTTCTTAAAGGAGAATGTGATAACTGAAAATTATTGGATGAACTAAATTTAAAAAAGAAAAAATTTAAGAAATTCAAAAACCAAATTTGAAGTTCATGGTCTCGATTTTAACTGACCTCAAGCTCAAAGAGGTTTCACCCATTTAACTTTAGAAAAATTAGTTTTTGAACTTGTAATTTCGGATTTGATTTTTTATGAACTTTATATATATATATATATATATATATATATATATATATATATATATATATATATATATATATATATATATATATAATAGTTCATCCTATAATTTCTATCTATCACTCCTCTTCTAGAAAATTCAAATATCGGTATTCTAAATTGAAAATTTGCACCCATGTTGGAAAAAATACAATCTATTTTCTGAAAAAAAAAATCTAAAATTTTTTAAGATCGAGAAGTATATTTTTTATTTTTTAAAATACTAAAAATATAGAAAAACAAGAAAAATAGAAACACAAAATAATTTCAATTTTTTTGAAGAGTTTTAAATAAATTTTATTGAATAATTTTTATTATGAAATTATTAATGCAACCGTTAGTTTTGATAGAAAACTAAAGAACGGGTTAAATTTAAAATAAAATAAAATAAAATAAAAGAGAGGTGACACCTTTAGAGATTAATTTCTAAATTGAATAAAATTTAGAGGAGGTTTGATTCCTTTTAACAGTTAAAAAATTCTTGAACTAAAAATTCATTAAAGGGAAATTCCTTAATTTTGGCCGGTTCAACATGATCAGGAAATGCTTTTTAGGGAAGATTCAAAGCATGCCTAGGGAAGATTCAAAGCATGCCAAACGTCAAAGGTATTCCCTTTTTAATTTAATTACTACCTTTTTTGCTGTTCATTAATTAAAGTTTGCTGCATTTAAAGCTACAGAATGGTCTTAAACAAACTACGAATGGGCACTGCCCTTTCTATCTATATTTCATTCGGGCATGTTTTATCTGTATTCTTAAGATTGCGCGTGTTATGGAGTCAGAAATTTGGAAAGAAAAAATATTAAAGAAATGAAATTTAAAAATGAAATGCTCAAAATATTTGGTAGAATATCATGGATAATAGTGGATCCTAAAAAAAGACATATTCAAAATTTAAATTAAATGTGTGTATATATATATATTTGATCCAAAAGGGAAATGCATGCAAAAAATAATGTTACATTAGGGAGGAAAAAAAAACAAAGAAAAGGACACGAAATTATATATATGTCCTCCTCAAAACTTCCTTGCCCCTCCTTCCACAAGAATAACATTTAACGTATCCTAACATTTATCCTAGGTTAAATGTTAGGATAGTGCTAAATTCACTAATGAAATTAAATTGTTATTTTTATCATTTTTTTTCTAGATAGTTAGTAATGCATCTTTTACCAATTATAAATAAATATTATATAACAAATATTGATGAATGGTGTATTAGTAACTTTATAGAAAAAAATGGTAAGAATAAAAATTCTATTGGTGAATTTAATAATACGTTAAATGATAGGAAAATTTCCCTTTCCCCCTAAATTTGTACTAAAAACAACTAAAGAGGGTTTACGGTTTACCTCTACCAAACATATGATAATTGGCTGAAAATGATACCAAAACGATGTCCACTAAAAGTGGACTCCCATCCACCTAATACACGTGATTGATTAAATTCACGAGCGTAACCCCAAGCTCATTAATTAACAATTTAACATATAAGCTATAGCCCTTTATTTTTTACCTGATCTGCCTACATACTCCAAGTTTTCAACGAGTTTTTATCCTCGTATAATAAATCGCAATTTATATCTTGCATCTCAAAGAGCAATTGACCTTTGATATGCACAGTTGCACTTGCACCCCATCTAATTGATTGCTTGGTCAATGCAAAACCAAGTTTTGCTCAAGCTTTGATTGGCACCATCAATTTGGTGCAGGCCCCACGACCATGCATATACCAAACTCGTCTAATAAATTAGCTCAATTTATAGCCTTTGGCATTTGGGCTTAAATAACCCCACCTCTATAGTTATACAGCCTGCCTTATGACAGAAGTTTATCGTCAAAACACGACATCATTTTATTTATACACACACAGAATGCTAACTTGATGCATCATATATACGTGTGGCATTTACTGTTTTTGGAAAAAAATAAAACAAAGCGGTGATATTTTTTTTAGAGATTTATACCAATTCCTACACCTCTTCTGTTGATTTTTTGCTCTCTCTATTTTTTTTTTCCCCGAAGTAGAATGAGATTGGGATAAGCATCTCTCTTTGGTTATGAAGAGACAGAAACAAGAGAGCAGGTGGAGAACACAGAGAGCAAATAGAGTGGTTGTTGAAAATGGTTAGAAAATGCTTAGCTACTTTGGCTACTCACGAAACTCTGAAAAAAATCAATTATTTGTTTATAGAATTATTTATAAGTTTGAAGTCGTCATCTAATATTAAAAAAAAAACATTAACCTAAAATAAGCACTAATTCTGAGATTATATGATAAAGAGTTAGTTACGTTTTTGAAAAAATATTTAATCACTCAAAAACGTTATTTTCAAATAAATGTACCATGTTGGATTTAGTATAAAGATTTACCCGCTGAAGAAATCTATATTTTGCCAAAAATTAATCTTTGTCTAAATTCTAAGTCCTTTATTTTTTAGCGTGATATCGTATTGAAGCGATCTTTGAACCTTTTTATCGAAAAACACGTTGGTTCAAACATTGAATCCACTTTAAGTCTTGACACAACCGATGTGTCGAAAAACATCTTAATTATTATTATTATTATTTTTTTTTACTAACAACGAATCCATATAGGAAACTTTGTTAAGAAATTTATTATTGTTGTTGTTGTTATTATCATTTGCCAACAACGATCCATAATAGATGGAAAACTTTGTCAAGAATTTTATTTTATTTTTTTGTCGATTGAAAATCATCATCAATCCCTAAAAATCAAGAGACTCGACAATTTATTCACCTTTTAATAGCTAATCAAATTACTAAAATACAAATCCCCAATAAAATTAATAAAAAAATAAAAAAATTCAAACATTGAAATAGAAATTAAACATAAGAAAAAAATACATAAAATAAGTTCAAAATTAAATGAAATGAAACTAAGGCTTATATATATATATATATATAACTCTTTTTTTGTGTCAAATACTTAAAGTAGATCCACTATTTAAACTAAAATTTCTTTCGACTAATGGATCCGACGATTGTTTCAATACCATGCTACGCTAAATAATAATAAAAAATTAGTTTTGAAATAAAGGAATTGAAATTTAGACAAAGATCAATTTTTGGCAAAAAAATAGATTTCTTTCGGGATATAAATTTTTAGATTAAACCAAATATGATACTTTTCTTAAAAAATGACACTTGTGAGTGATTAAATATTTTTTAAAAAATGTAACCAACTCCTCACCATATAATTTATGAACTAGTACATATTTTAGGTTTTTAATTCATTTAATACTACGTGACAATTTCAAACTTATAAATAATTATGTAAATAAATAATTAATTTTTTTCAAGGGTTTCGTTCGACATCGGATGGCGACAATAAATATTAAGAGTTGTTACATTATCTACAAGGATATTGCTTACCAGCTATTAGAAGTTGCTATATTATATACGGAGATATTTTAATTTTTTTTACTAATTGTTTGATAGAAAATCCATAGTTAAGTTCATACATATAAAGCCTAAATTTTTGTTAGATAGAGATATAAAATATCACTGCTTTCAAAACCTACTAAAAATGTTTGTTTATTCTCTTCATTCTTAAAGTTTAAAATTTGATTTCGACATATATATATATATATATATATATATATACACTGAATTAATAAGAAGATGCATATTTAATCATAAAGTGATTTGATAAACAAGTATTAATTTATATCCTTATTGCAAAAAAAAAAAATACATGTTTAAAATCATATAAAAAATTAATTTTAATTAACACACAACAATACAAATACTTGTCCATTTGAACAAAAAAAAAATAAAGAGCTCAGATTTTTCACCCATCTGTTATATACTGACCTCAAAAGACATGCTTGGAAACGGAAACAACCATCTCTTGCTTTTTCCCAAATCCTTAAGAAGCCAGCCTGGCCATGATCTGTCCTCCATTTTCCACGATCCTTGCGTTCGTACTTCGTAGACTTGCGTAAGCTTTTTTTACCAAAAGAACTGTGTCTGTTTAATCATGATGGACTGCCAAATGCTAACATGGTTTTTGTCACAACTAAGAAAAATTAACCTCAATATCAGTCCTCAACCTGTAACCAATTTTCAATCGAACCCCAACATAAAACGGATTGAAATTTTCAATCGACTCCCAACTAATTATTTTTATTAATTGGATCTCCATTATATCTAAATATATCAATTAGACCCCATCCATTTTTTTTTAATGTTTTCAATTTGAATTGCCTACTTTTGCTATAAAACAATATGTTTTTTTCAAAAGATAACTTTTTCTGTCCAAATATTCACTTTAATTTTGAACACAAAGACTCATTTAAAGGTTTATGAAATAATAGACTTGAGTAATAAAAAAAATAAGTTACGAATGAAATAATAATATGTTAATGATATACCGAGTGTCTAGATTTTTTCAATTTCCACAATTTAGCAATCTTGACTTTAATTTTTATCAAAAGTTATTTGTTTATCAATGGTGTTCGATTCATATATTTAAAAGTATATCTATGTACTAGGAATTGTCCAATATATCTCATAACTATGACATCAAAACCAAAATTTTAAAAGAAAATAATAAATTTACATATAGTGTGATTGTGAAAATTATATACTATTTTAATAATTTTTAAGAGTTTTATTTGAACAGAGGTTATATGTTTTTCGATTTAATTGATGATATGACATATATTGAGCCATTTTATTTCTAATTTTTTTATAAAATTTTGATGTGTATATCATCATTTAATAAACATGTCGATAAATTTTAATAAACATCTAAAGAGATATTTGATTGTGTTGTTATTAACATGTGGGTAACTCAATTGATAAGACACTCAATTATGAAGATCCAAAAAGTTTGGATACTTAATGTACTATATCTCACAGTTGTGGACTAATTTGAGGTTACCTTCTGATTTGATAGACCCCACAAATTGCAACCCGCCAATTGCTTCCATACAATGGATGGAAATCACAACTCCAACACATTTCCCCGCATTTTTTAGTGCTCACTCCAAAAAGATCCACAGTATTGCACATGACTGCTACGAGCACCCCAGGGTAACTTTGGTTGACACATTCCTACAAAAATACAAATCCCACTCATTGTGATCACTCATCCCATGAATTGGTAATGATCCTCTTCTGGATCTCAACCACGTCTTGTCTCTTTTATCTGAGGACGGCCGGGCTCCACTAACTTGCTTTCATTTTACCTTTTCCTATCTTGTTTCAAGTGCTGGAGGCTATAGCCCTGATCAAAACTTGTCCTACCATAGCCAACTTATTATTATTATTTTTTAATTTATCTTGCAATGAATAATATCAGGCAGCAGGTTTATTCTATTATATAATCACTAAATAAATTTAAAATTATTAAAATTCGAATATTATTTCATTAAAAAATAATTAAATATATAATTATTAGGTTAACTTTTTTGTATAGCCAACTTACTAACTTCAGTGCAATAATCAAGTTTGTTTATTTATTTATCAATTTTATGTTAGTGATTTGCCCTTAACGGAAAATGCACATGCGCGATTGGTTGTAGTATCTTACCATGATTTCCATAGATAGCTGATGTCCGCGACCGCATAAAGCCAAAAATGTCCTCTTCAAATAAATTCAAAAGGATTGTTACAAGTTAGTCTCCAGCCTATATAGTTTTTAACAAATCACTCCCAGACTTTAAAATCTTGTCTTGCTGCTCCTTCCCCAAGCTCTCTTGGTTTGACATGTCCGTACCTCTTATCTGTTTATATTACCATAAAAACACAGAAATTGGCTAAAAGCATGGAACAAAAGCAGATTTATTCATTTCACTTCCATAATTACTGTTAAGATTTTATATTTCAGATATAGGACTTAAAAAAGTATAAACTGAAAATTTTTCTTAGTTAACTGTCCATCCCTCTGTCAATTTAATAATATAATCTCAAGGTATGGAAACTCACGGGGACGAGCTTGCGAGAATAAAGAATAAGATTGATAAATGTATGGGTAGATTGGGGTCTCGTTTGTTGCAATCCGAGTTCAAAATCTGGATTACCACCACAATCAGTTTTAATAGTTTAATCATTTGCAGTAGCAAGGGTAGCCACAGACCAAAAAAAGATTAATAGTTTTAAAACCAGTCAGATGTCATGGATAAAGCTATCCATGGCATGAAGCATTAATCCCACTCAGGTCAGTTGTGAGATGAACGCCCTTTTAAAATTCAATGTTGGGTTACCACCGTAATCATGTCCTTCCATGACTTCGTGTTTCATATAAAAACGTTTGGTGAGTATTCCTCGACAAAATCTAGACATAACAAGACAAAGAAGACGCATTAAAATTTCTTAAAGGGAGAGGCAAAGGAATTATAAAATTAGTGGATGTGACACGTGACTTAACGTGCCTAAGGTGGGTTCGCTGGAAAGCGGTGCTATGGTGTTGTTGCCACTAACCTTTTTGCAGTTCTGTTTAGTACAAATTGAAAGGCTCATGGCAATTGTCAAAGAGTCAACGCCACATGCTTTTGACACTTAGGTATCTCTATTGAGCCATTTGCCAATCCCAACTTTATATATATGTATGTTTTAACTTGGCTCCACGTGCCAAGCATTAGTGAAAAGGGATTAGCAATCCATTTTGTCTGTATTATGCTTTAGAATGAAATATTAGTATTTGTTACGTTTTCAACATTAAGTGTTCTGCTTGTACTTATAGAAATTAGTCACCAATGTGTTCTATTCCCTCCCTTTGTTTTATTTTCCGGAGTCTTCTTATTGCCACCTCCATAAAGAAAAGGAAAGAAAAAGGTTGCTGAGGAAACATGAAAGAGGAAAAAAAAAGAAGAAAAAAATGCAAAAATTGCAATGTTAATATCGCCAGCACTACCCCATTGGAATGTACTATATTATAAATAATCTCGTTACATCATCTGGTTATGTGACTTTTTCTGAATGGGCACACTCATGCATGAGATGCTGGTGTCCCCATAAATCATTATTGTATGATTCAACATGTTGGTTTAACACTAATTAAATTCAAAACCCCGTCAAGCAATCTTTAACAATTTCCAACCAACATCGATTAAGGAACTCCAATCCGGAGTCTGATCAAACGTAATGCGATGTGATTTTTAAATGCTGACATGCATGAATAATTGAAGTAGTGCTATGATTTGAGCATTGTCAATGATGAGAGCAAAAAGATTTGCTTAGTGATTTGGAAATTGCAAACTGACAATGGTGGTTGGGAATCAGATCTGATCTGGGACGTGAACTTAGGTAAAGAAGGCCTAGGAGGAAGGTCATGGTGCTTTCAACAAAAGAAAAGGAATCCCAGGGCCAGGGCTTTATTTCACTGTTCAAAAGCTATGCTTATGAGAGAAGGAAAGGAAAGATGCCCACGTGGAATGGCATTTATCAAAACGGAAGCAACCATGGGATTTCGGCAAAGCATATACCCAAACTCTAGAAATGGGAAACAAAATGCTCAAAGAGATGTAGCTATTTGAAGAAAGGAATTAATTTTTTAAACTCAACTTATGTGTGATTCACAATTAAGTTGATCTCAAACTTGACAAGGATAAAATCAAGATAGCTCTTTTACGAATGCATTTAATTTAATTGATATAATCATCTTATCTTGTGTCAAAACCTAAAATTCAATTTTCCTCCTCCTAGAGATAAATGTCATGGAAGAAAGAGTACATTCTTTCTACAAAAAAAGCAACCGCACGTGTCTCGATTGTTCGTTCTACTAGGATGATAAGTGATTCATACGTATTGGTGAACTTTACCATCATTAATCCATATACGACCGGATAAAACCCTATGTAATTCATCTTGTTAAAGTAAATCCATTTACGACCACACGAGACTGTACATGATTCTCACGTGTTGGTAAACCTTGCCATCATATATCCATATGTCCACCTGATTGCAAATGGGACTGCACATGATTCACTCTTATTGGTGAGCCTCACCCTCACCGGCGCATGTCCAAAATCATACCAGAGAAGACCGCACATGATTCCCATTTATTGGTGAACCGCACCAGCGCATGTCCACTTGCAATAGGAGAGACTGTAGACGATTCACACGTACTTGTGAACCTTACCAGTACGTATCCATCTACAACCAGATGAGACTCTACATGATTTATAAGTATCCATAGGGGTGAGCACTGTTTGGTAAAAATTGAAAAATCAAAACGAATTGAACCAAACCCTACATTATTTATACGTATTGGTAGGGGTGAGTAATTTTGATTCGTTTTTTTATAAAAAATTAAAAAAAAATCGAAATCAAAAACTGAAATTATTTCAATTTAGTTCTTTTTTTAAAAAAAATTCAGTTTTTATCAAAAACCAAATTAGTATTTTCTAAGACTTATAACAAAACTAATCTGTTAAGATTTGAAGCTATAAACTCTTATAAGAGACAACTATCATTAGTTTACAACCTCCCTAATACTCGAATTAGTTAAAAATGAGTACCATTCAAGCTCGATACTCGAATTTTTGATAAAAAGGAGACCACCCATATTCTGGGCGTAGCATTTTCTTATGATTTTTTTTCTTTAAAACTTCAATTCAAGCTATTAATATTTTTTGAAAAAAATTAAAAAAGTGAAATTTCAGTTTGGTCTAAAAAAATTCAAAATTAAAAAAAAAACTGATTTTTAATAAAAAAATCAAACAAAAAAATTCAGTTTTTTAACTGAAAAATTGAATGTTAATTCGATTCAGTTTCTATTTTATTTTAGTGAATTTGATTAATAAAAAAAATATATGGAACCGAAAAAAAAACTAAATGATTACCCCTACTTATAGGTGAACTTTAACTCCACGCTGTAAGGATTCGCACGTGTTAATGAACTTTACCACCACATGCCCTCCAGCAACCAAATAATTCTATACATGACTCACGCCTAGTAAGTGTTGGTAAGTTTTGCGATTTGTGGAGACTACAGAAACCATAGAAAAATGGGATAGTCGCCAAAAGTTGGCATCACCAATCACTGTATAATTCATATCCAATAAATCTTTTGACACAAAGTAAAATAAAAAGAAAAGACTGACCAAATAAAGAGTCCAACAAAAGTTATAAAATGTACCCGTAGAAAAATAAAAATATACAAGAAAAAAAGTCAAAAAATACAAGGGTTGATGAGTAAGACAGCATTATTGTTTTCTTTTTCATTGTTGTCAAATTCATAATGTTTTTTCTTTTTTTCCTCCTCGTTAAAAATCCATAGTTGCTTGAATAGCACCTTTAAACACACACCGAGCCCCTTCCGCTCCTTTCGCTCCGCCAAACAACACCTACTACTACCTACTTAGTACTCTATAGAAAAACCGATTCTCACTTCATTATCTGCCCGTCGTTTTTCTTATATACATCGAAAAGGAAAACAAAAAATACACAAAAAAGTAAATAAAAAAAACTCTCTCCTCTTTTTCTCTGAAATGGGTTTCTTCGGTGTGAGTTACCATCCAAATCTGAAGTGACCCATTTCATTGTTTCTCTACCATTAGTAGAAAAGGGACCATCGTATACTCGCATTTCAGTTTTCTTTTTATCTGATTTTAATACTTTCTTTATTGGTTCCTCTGTTGATGAGTTGCTCCTTTTTCTCTCTTTTAAGTCTCTGTTTTCTTTTTATGCCATTTCTTTTTTCTTGTTAAATCTTGCAAGACCTAGTTGGGAAGTTAGAGTGTTGGTGGCCTTAAACGAGGTAAGGGACTTCGTTTCTTTTTGGTCTGTTCTTGAAATTTTTTAAAAGGGTTTATAATGATCTATTTTTATGTTTTAATTTTAGTTTTGAAGTGGGGTTTTGATGTTTTGGTTGATAGATAAGCATGGCCTAATCTTACCTAACATTAGTTTTATTTTTATTGGCTCACTAAGCAGTCTTGTTAGGGTTTGATAACCATAAAAAAGGCAGTTTTTGTGTAGAAAGAAACACAATTTGGTGTCTTTTTTCTTTTTGGATCAATAGATTCATTCTAGTAAGATTTCCTGTTTTCAAAATTTTCCCCTTCATATGTTTTCCTCTTTAAATGCCGTTGTCTTCTCGAAGCAACAATTTAGTGACTAATGCGGGATACATCCATCCATACTCCATAGATTTCTTTTTAAATCCAGAGGCTTAAAATTTTACTCGGCATTTGATGATAACTGGTCTGTCAGGTTGTTTAATTTCGTTGTATTTCCTTCCGGGTATTAAATTAATGTTTAAAGTAATATATATGTGGTTGCTTGGTTGTCTGCAAGCTGAGTACCATATTGATCGTGTTAAAAATTCTTCCTTTCATGTTCACTTGTTTCTTGTGTAATAAAATTTAGCCCTTTGACCATATTTGCTGGGCAGGTGATGCCTGGAGATTTGCATTTTTAAAGTGAATTTTTTGTGTAATGGCAGGACTTTCACTTTGGGGATGATCGGTTTGTTGGGCATTTTAAAGATGAATTTATATAATCTGAAATATGTAGAAGGAAGATAGAATATGATCCTGGTCCTATAAAATGGTTCTTGCTTTGCAGGTGCACTTAAGACCATCACTACAGAGTCGTGGTTTTTTCAAAATTTTGCATCTGGGTGTGGTGTGACAGTGAGATTGGAGGTTGATTCTTGTTTGACTGTAAGTCAGTTGAATTATCTTTTGATATTTTATTTTTGAAATTTTTATAACTTCTATTTTTTTCAAGAGGAGATGGAGCATTGGGGTTTTGTATTTCTGAATCTGAACCTGGTGTTACTTTTAGATAGTGTTAGATTTGTGCAGAATGCAAGACTTATTCTTTTGTCTGTTTCCCTTGTAAATTGTTGTATCCTTCACGATTCATAAATTTCAGATTAATTTTCCATGTATTTCAATTTCCTCAAGTTTTTATTTTCTATCTTGTTTGGTGGTTTAGTACAATTTTTAGGTGATATTAACTCATATATTTGGCAGCAAGGGGGTTTATCTTTTATGGTCATAAATCTTCATTTCAAAATTATTATGTCTTTCTCATTTTTGATCTTTCACTGTCTTTTTTATGCCAGCTCTCTTTTTTGAAGGCCTCTTCTATTTTCGTCATGGAGGGTGAAACATCTTGGGTAAATAGTTGTTTTGAGGACCCAACAAATGACATTGGTGAATTTGATTCATTTTCTGAACTTAGTGATGAAGGCAATAAAGAAGTTAATGTCGTTTCAGTGGATTTAATCTTGCCTGATGATCTGCTAGAACGAATCCTAGCTTGTCTCCCCATTGCTAGCATCTTCAGAGCTAGCTGTGTGTGTAAAAGATGGCACGAGATTGTTAGTTCAAGGAGGTTTTTATGGAACTTCTCACATGTCCTGCCACAAAAACCTTGGTATTTTATGTTCACAAGCTCTGATGAACCTGTTGGCTATGCTTTTGATCCTGTCCTTCGAAAGTGGTATGGCATTGATCTTCCCCACATCAAGACGTCCAATTGGTCCATTGCTTCATCATGCGGCTTGGTTTCCTTCATGGACAATGACAGCAGAAGTGAGTTGTATGTCTGCAACCCTATCACCAAACACTGCAGGCAGCTTCATGAGCCCCCGGGCTTAAAGTTTTCGGATTACAGTGCACTTGCAATTTCCGTGAACCGGATATCACATGGTTATACTATCTCAATTGTGAAGTCTAAGCAAGTCCCTGAAAATTTTTTCCAATGGGATCTCTCTATCCATATCTATGATTCTGACACGATGATGTGGGTAACTTCTTGTGCAGAGGTTTTGACAGGATGGAGAGCTGGTGATGAGAGTGTGATCTGTGATGGGGTCTTATACTTTTTGATATATTCTGCCGGAGGCGGCACCCAAGAAACCCGTCATGCTCTAATTACATACAATCTATCCAGCAGATCTTCTCATGGCTTGTTGATAAGAAGTTTTATTAAAGTACCTTGTCCTCTTACTTGTGGCCGACTAATGAATTTGAATGAGAAGCTTGTGATGGTGGGAGGAATTGGTAAACAAGACCGGCCTGACATAATAAAAGGGATTGGCATCTGGGTTTTAAATGGCAAGGACTGGCAAGAGATTGAACGTATGCCCTACAAGTTTTTCCAAGGATTTGGGGAGTTGGACGAAGTTTTTGCTAGCAGCGGTGCAGATAATCTTATATACATCCAGAGTTATGGGGCTCCAGCTCTTCTTGTTTTTGACATTAACCAGAAACAATGGAAGTGGTCACAGAAGTGCCCAGTGACAAAGAGGTTCCCTCTTCAGCTCTTTACTGGTTTTTGCTTTGAACCTAGGCTTGAGATGGCACCATAATTTTTATTGAATTTAATGTGGCGGTGTTGAAATTTTTTTCAGAGAGTCCCCCCTTTTTCCTTTTTTGTTTGTTTCTGCCTTCGATTTCAACCACTATGAAATCTGTTCCAGAAAAGTTTACACAAAGTGTACCCGCAAACAAATTGTGCTAATTTATGAAATGGGAATATTATTCTTTGCGATGATAATACTTTTTGTACAAGTACTTTCTGACTTTCATGATTCATCACGGCACTGGCCTTATCACAGAATGTTGCTCAGCTGTTTCTTGATGATTTATGCATCGAATGCATATTCAACCACCTGGATTTATGGCATTTTAGCTTTATATATAACCCAACATTGAGTTGTTTCAACGTTACATTTGTCCAGATCCAAATTTTATTGGCTGTCTCTAGCATGTCCTGTACGAGGAGATTATTTCGTAGACTTGTATTCAATGCTTTTGATGATCTTATTCAAATTTCAAGCCCAAAGAAAAACTTGAGGGTAGGGTGCTTCTGTTGTTTTTCTGGATTTGGCTATTCTGCCATCCCCTCATCAAAATCTACAGCAACGCTACCACTCCCTTTCCTAAAGTTCACCTCTCAAAATCTAGTAATGGGTTGCCATGCTAGCGGCTTCATCAGTTACTCCATTTTTTGCAACTATTAGATGTTGATTTTACCAATTTCTCCCCCAAATGGCAGGAGTTGAAAATGCAACTTGGGCATAGTCTTGGGACCTCGCTTGTCAAGCTGGGATATTATTTGCCGGCATGAAGTTTACCAAGTTTCCGGAGATTTTGCATGTTGTCTCCATGTTCAGCAAAATGGGCATTGTTTGAAGATCGCCTTGTAATTAACGCAAACATGTGTTTCTTTATTCCAGCAGCATCACCGTTGATGCTTTGTGTTTTCCAATTTCATTCGTCATCATTGAAGAAGAGATTAAATAAAAATGCTTAGATCACCTTTGTGATTGGATTTTTGCCTGTTTCGCTGCCGTTGGAGCACATTATGCTGTCTCATTTTATAGAATGAGGAGTGCTAATGATTAATGAATTGGACTGTGCTCATAGTATTGCATGTTGGTCCATCAAAGGGAGACACTTGCCCGGGCAGGATCGAACAGCGTGAATCGTTTGTAGCATTTCTCTTTCCTGGGGGCAATAGTTATGAATGTAGGATTCCAAGGGATTGGAATTTGAACTCTCAAACGGTCCTGTGTATAAAAATCTGAAATTCCTAGCCATTACTTACCCGGCAATTTTACTCCAGGAATTAGTCATTCCTCATATAAAAGCCATCGTTATGTGGGCCTGCACTATGGTTTGGTGGAGAAGTCACAAAGTCCACAATCTGCCTAGGAGAAATTATCTTTATTGGTATATAAAACACAGCATCATTCGAACAAAGCTAAAACGTCCCTCTGTGGCTTCGGTTTTCGTTGAATATCTCTGAGAGAACAATCAAATCGCTTTCAAGGCGGCTGCTGCACTATGCATAAGGGGCATTCACGAGGCATTAGAGGCTAAAGATTAGCAGTTGACTATCTTTAGTATATTGCATGACAGTGAGCATAGAATGGCAGTATCGATAGAATGAATGACCAATGCCGATTAAATTATTAGATCTAAATAAAATAATACTAAATTCATCGACATCCATATTTTATCTGCATCACATCATGGACTGTGTTGAAACATTAATTACATGATGGATTCATGGTGGGAATTGCAAGTAATTCAAGATATTTTATGATGTCAATTACGACAGTACCAAACCAAGCCCAAGGTTTTTTAGTAGTTGATTGATCGAGCCCACAACATTTGAGTCAATTAATCATACTCGTGTCACGATCAGTTCAAATATCCAGCAAAGCAAATGCTATTCAAGGACAATATGGTTCCAAACTATTGTTGATAAGCTCAATTTATTTGCTGTCTTCAATAACCACAAAAACAGATTTCGTGCTTTGCGTGTTCTTGGTGTACTTAAAGAGCAACAACTTAAGTCCCTATCCCGAAAAAAACCACTCATCAACTGCTCCTGGTTTTTTTTTTTTTAACTAAAACAATGACATTACAAAAAAAATTGTACGGACATTTCAAATTATTCAACGATATCGGCGGATTTATGCGTGTTCTGTCACTCATCAAGGAGCTAATTTTATCAGCTCCAACTAAGACCGGCATTTGTATGATTTGACAAATTAACTCATCTTTAACAGTCTTTGGATAAAATAACTGCTTAACCCTCACTGTCACTGGCAAAGACAGGAAATAGTCAGGGCAGTTTGCAAGAAATTTTGAAAGTTAAAACTTGAAAGGAAAATTTATATTCTGATAAAACCAATTTTGGTTAAATTTAGCATGACCAAAACAGTTAAAACAGATCGTTTGGTTGGACAAGGGCCCGTAATCAAATCGAAGCTCTGTAACATGTAACAGAAAGGAATCACTGAAAGTTAAACCCTAAGAGAACAGAATCTGGCGCGAAAAGAGGATGAATTTTAGAGTCTTAACGAACTCAAAACTAATATATTTGAAATGCAGAGAAGAAAACCACCATAACAAACAAAGATTTCGAAACTGACAAAAAACCGCTACGGTCGACAATTTATAAGAAAAAGCATATAAAGGGATTTGGAAAGGTGTTTCAGAGACCAAGGCAAAATATATTACCAGTCTCTGATAAGGTAATCTCTGCAAATTTATTTTTTTATTTATTCTCTTAATTTTGGTAGATTTAAATTTGTAGTTTTCTCTTTTTGGTCTTTTTTGTTGTTGTGTTTTTTTTTTTGCTGATTTGGGTGAGTCAAATTCAGTGAATTCATGTTAGGGTTTCGCAAGCTGGATGCGTTATAAAACCAATTAAAAATTGATGTTTTTGGTATTGATATTCAGTCTAGTTTATGAAATTTACAATTCTACAAAAGAAAATTAAATAATGTAGTTTCCTTTCTTTCTTTCTTTCTTTCTTTCATCAGAATGTTGATTTTTTCCTTCTGTCTGGTGTAATTTGGTTGTGCACGTACGGTATATAGCAAATTGGGGATCATCTTAAAACATGGTAAATGGAGAAATTGTGTTTGCGTGTGTGCATGAGATGAATTTCAAGTTCATTTTTCGTGCAATTTATAAAATCAAGATTGCCAAAAAAATAAAATCCCTCTAGGTTATAAATTTTGGTCAGAACGATTTGTAAAAATTGATGTGCTGGTTTTCCATTCAATACGAATGAAGGTCCTGACTGATTTTAGTACGAAGAACGTTGACTAGCTCAGACATTTCTCTTCACTGACCTTTTGCTGTAACCTGTGACGCCTTCTAACAAGCGAAATGGATCATTTCATATTCTAATTGGTGGAATATAGGCATTTTGCAGGGCAGCAAATGGCAATGTATTTCAAAGACCTTCCTTCTCTGGCATTCAGAGATGCTCAAAGGAACACGATACGATATCGTAAAGTGGATTCTGGATGCACTGATGAGCGCGTATATAGTGATTATACATGCAAGGATTACTGTCCTGATGTTTTCAGGTTATTTATGTCTCTTTCATTTTCAGATTTATCTTCTTATTCATGCTTGTCTTGGGTGTCTATTTTGATTCATTCTTTTATTTTTTCATGCTTAAATTCAGTTATTTATTGGTGCAGAAACATAGTGCTCATTTAATATGATGCAAAGATATAACTGCAATTAAATCTAGGCCATTCCGCCTGTCTCCAAATAACAAATTTTAGATGCAATTAGCATTTTGAATTATAATTCATATTTGATTTGTGTCTCACCATTAAAAAGAATGCAGAAGGTGGATCATAATGCTGGTTATCAGAATCTGTTGCTAAATAGCAAATGCTATTCTGTGGCTGCCTCTTAATGGATTATGCAGTTCATTTTACTTGGCAAAGATTAGGCTGCAATAGACCACAATTATAGAAAAGTGATCCTTGACGCTTCTCTAAAACATTAAGGGCTGCTAAATTCTTTCCCAGCCAATCAAATACTCAACTGCTGGTCTCTGTCTTCAGACAATCGTTATAACTTTCCATATCTGACACTGCTGTTATTGTATGTATCGCAGACGAATACAAGAGCTCAGAAATATTCATCACTCTGACTACATGATGTCGATACGTTCATATTGGACCTTAAGGGAGATATTGTCAGCAGGAAAGGATACTCGTTCGATCCCTGTTGGCACTGATGACCGCCTTATGATAGGAATCGTGCCAAAATCTGAAAAGAAGGTAAGGAGATTAATCTTCAGAGAAGTCCTACTAGTATAGTAACAAATGAAATTTTACTAGCGGAGCAGAAACTTGTTTCTTTTTGTCTAGTTCAGCTTTTTATGCATCAAAAGTTTACTTTATGGCTTTCAAAGTTGTGTTATCAAGTTGCTTGTGGTGCTGAACGTTCAGTGGCTCCTGTTTTTTTTTTTTTTTTTTTTTCAATTTTATTACAAGTATAAAGTTGACCATACTTATATTTGTAGGCAATGCTGCATATGCTTCCAAGCTACTGTTTCCATCTTGAAACGAACCGTGATTCACTGCTAAGCATGTTATATGGAATTCACTATATAAAGCCAGTTGGTGGTCCTACGGTACAGAACGTTTCAACTCTCTTAAATCAAACAGCATCACTTGCATGTCACACAGCATTTTGTTACACCAGGAGGCATTTATGAGCAGCAGAACAAACAACATTGACTCAAAGATGTTGAAATCATAGTTGTTAGACTCCACTCAGCCAGGTCAATTTGGCGGGAAATCAGTTGAATTGTACTCTAAACTGGGTTGAGTAGCTAATCAACCCTCGTTTAACGTTGAAGTGAAAAAACCTGTCACCCTTCAACCTGGTAAAAGAATCCAATAAATCCAGTTAGAAAATGGTTGGTCCATGCGTCCTCTAATTTGCAGTTGTGATGTCTATACTGTTCCATCGCATTGTGTTTTGCTGTCTCCTCCACAGGTGCAAAACACAGTTTTCATGTCAGCGGATTTAGAAAATGTGCTTTTCTTTTTTTGTTTTTTATGTGTGCGGATATGTCATCACTAAACAAAAAATCTCTCTCCAGTAACAGTCACAAAACATATCACTGTTTAAAATAATACGTCCTCTCAACATAACCTTAGGCCAGCCAGCCTACAAAGAATTTCTTATTTTTTGAATCTTATGTTTTCATTTGCAGTTTCATGTCCATTAAATTAGAATAATTAAAAGTGAAAATGATGCTCTTGCTAGGTGGCCTAAGATGTCAATTTCACTTGAAGTTATGATGGGCACTATAGGTTGCATTGCAATTACACATGATTATGGCCTTGGTGAAGAAACAAAGCTAGTGGAAAGAGCCAAAACCTGAGAAAAAAAATCCGCAGATCTTTCCTTATGTTTTGGAACTAACTTTTTTGAGTTGCCACATTGCACTAATCATGACTTTTTGTGAGCAGGTTTACTTTGCCGTCCATTCCAGAGTTATTCCGTCAGACGCTAACATACTCGGGGTTTATGATCTGAAAGGCTCATGGAAAGGACGAAAAATAAACAAATCAAGAGTCAAAGATAACATCATATTAAAGGATATGGACTTTAGTTTTCGTTTTTATTTAGATCCATTGATCCAAGAAAAACTCTTAGGGTATGTCAATCACTCTAGTTCTTCTTTATTGACACAATAGTTTAAAATAAAAGCAAATATCTGAAGAGAGAACAAAACAAGCTAAATTAGATCTGAAATTGGACTTTCAGATTGTGGAGATCAATTTATTTTACCGACATCATTGATTGTAGTTCCACCTGGAAACTTACTAAATGGAATTAAAACCTTAGGAATGTGTGTGTATAACCTTCAAACCTTTAAGGCATTAATTGTTTACTTTTTTGTTATCTATGAATTAAGTTTTAATCCCTTTTTACTTTTATAGGCAAATCAAGCATGATTGTGAGTTTTTGGAAGCTCAGGGTATAATGGACTACAGTTTTTTGATTGGTATAGCTTTGCCACCTCAAGGTAATGGTGATTTTCCCACCTAATCTCCTACATTTCTTTTTACATGTATAAAGAAGAGAATAGGAAATTTATTGATAAAAGAAACGCATTAACCATCAAATGGAACTGAAGTGGTGATCTGTGATGTAATTCCCTTCCTCACCTTGAATTTGACAAAGAAATATTTTGTGTTGTTTTAGAATGTGCATTTCAATTCATACACTCTTGGTTCATACTAATTTGCCCGTTTGCGGAATGTGCATTTCAATTCATACATTTTTTATAATTTTCCAGAATATAGAGAGAAGATGTTTAGTTCAATTTAAATAAGCTTTAGTACATACTAAGAGATGTTTTATTTTAAGTTATTAATTAGTTTGGTGATAGTTTCTTACCTCTTTGTGTTTACTTGTGATTTTGTTTCCCTTATTTCTTAAAAGTTTGTACCTTTTTCTGACATGAAATAAAGAATGAAATGATTTCACTTTTCATTCTCAAAAAAAGAAAAAAGAAAAAATGATTTAACTTCCACACAAGATTCAATTGCGATCATTTTACAAAATGAAATAAGCAAGGATTTTTTTTTCCTGTTCATCTACAGATTCAGCTGATAGCAGAAGTTCCTATAGCGAAGAGACATCCTCACGCTGCTCTCCTACGAATTCGGATGATGGCAGAAATTCCAATGGCCAGGATACTGGTTCTGGAGATTGTTCTTCTGTGAATTCAGTTGATAGCAGAAGTTTTGATAGCGAGAGAATCTCAAGTTGCTCTTCAGAAGAAGTTGAGGCGACAAAGTCGATTTATTCTGACATTAGCCAAGAGCCTGATAGGTAAATAATGCCTTCCACTCAACAATTTTTCAGTTTACAAAAGGAAATGGAGGGGGGCAGGTAGAATGGAACGTTCATTAGCCTGTCCATAAAAAAGCCCGCATTCCCTCCTTCCTAGCAGAAAGAGGGGTTATGCCTCCTGTCATTTATTTTTCCTGCAAAGGAAACCAGAGGTGCTTTCGCCCTCTCTCTATTTTCCCCCCATTTGTCTACTGGAGATGAACTCGTTCAACTTGATAATTTGGGAATAAATAGCTCCTTGGTTAACGAAATACTTTCTACTATGGTTCTATTGCAGTCCTAAATTTAGATTAGGTGTGAGAATGCCAGCACGTACCATCCGATCAAAACTGATTAAAGAAGGACATGCGTCTTCTACTCGAAGTGCCAGAGGACTGGAGTGCACCGATGTTGTGTTATATTTCTCAATAGTTGATATATTTCAGAATTACAATCTGACTAAGCGCCTTGAACATGCTTACAAGTCAATCAAGTACGATTCCAAGTCAATCGTTACAGTGAATCCCAAAGCATATTCTTCTCGCTTCCAAGATTTTATGAGCCTAATTTTTCATGTGAACGACTGATATTCATGGGCTTGCAACTGGTAAGTTTGTTTATTTAACCATCTCTCCATATGAATTATATGAATTATTATGACGAGGACATTCTTAACCTTTAGTAAGACATCAATGCTTGTGGAATAACTATCAAAGAAGTGCTGTCTATAGGATGGTTTATATCTTATTATTAGTGTTCTTCATACTCATTGGAGATTTCGTGGGCATATAGATGCAGCGAATTCTAGCATAGTCAAAAACTTTCTTGCTGGACTTTCAACCAAAGTATCAGAATTAGGCATCCCTATTGAGTGGTGAGTGGTCTCTTAACTTTAATTTTGTTATGCATAGGGTCACACCTAGCAACTCGTGAATTTTCAATATTCTGCCCCTGCATGCGAGTGAATGAGAAGGTAATGAAAGTAGCACTTGCTGACCGACTGTCACCCAAATCCAGTCAGCCTCAAGCTCAACCAACCAAATCTGAGAAGGGTTTTTGCTTACATTCTCATCATTTCCTATTTCTCTTACGAATTATAACTTCTTTTTTTTTGGGTAATGCATACTTGGATTTTTCAAAATTTAATCCTAAATACCCAAACCGCCTTTCCTTTTTCTCTTTAATTGTTCTGTTCACATTGCATTCTCTCAGGCCAAGCTTGATCAAGGGTTCCCCCTATCATGGACCACATTGTTAAAACTTGTGATCCGTAGAAATCAAGGCTTACAATTTTCCTCCCCTTGTTTCTTTTTTGTTTTCGATTTTCCTCTCCTTGTTATGGCGTAAAATTAATTTTTTCCATATCTTTTTGACAGGGCAAAGGGCCGGTCTGTACCGTGCAAGTTTGTGACAATCTGTATAGCATAGAATAGACAAATTGTCTTACTTTATGGAAATGAGATATGCAAAATATGACGACTTGGAAATACAAGGACAACTGACCTCATTACCTAGCAATATGGCTATGTCAATTTGCAATACTTGGATGATTGTGTTTTATTTCGTTTTTTTCTTATTTAAAACAGTATTAGAGGCAAAAAAGAGGGCCATTCCTACTCAATTAAGCAGCTGAGTGTTTCTTTCTTTTTGAGTTTTTTTTACAGTGAATGGCGTTGTAGTTGGAGTTTAAAATCCTTTTTTAGATTCGCAACCTTTCATGGCCTCAAAAGAGCTTAATCGAAATGTCAATGTAGGTGTTCAAAATCCAATCTATTTGAATGGTTTGATTTATTATATTATTATATTTTTTCTATTGATAAAAAAAAGTCTTTCAATTCATTCTTGTTATTTATAATTTGATAGAATTAGATAAAAATCCATATGATATACATTGCATTAATGATCGATCAATTGATGTGAGATGAACATTAATGCATTTAAATGATATCATTAAATGTCTTAGGTCGTAATATTGTCAAGATTGGACATTGATAACATGTGGTAAGACTTGTGAATGCTATGTTATTGTTATTAGATAGCAATAAGAGATTTCACACCTACCGATATGATGATGTCAAAACAAACACTTAAGTAAATAATGTTAGTTAATATATATCATTGGTCATAACTCGTCATAAGGACCCATTCTATGTGAATCTTATACGAAATGGATACAATCGATATTTTGACTTGAAGTCATTATGGTTATCTTATTGGAGGATTGATGTATTTTGACATTCGTTTCGATAGGTTTGGTAAATAGTTATATGTGGACAACTTGTTGGGTGCATTAAGAATATAATAGAGATATGTGGATGATTGAGATAGGACATGTCATTCCTTATATGCTAAAATGGTTATCACATTGCACTTCAATGAATGGTCGCTCAAGAAATCTATGACCACAGCAGTAAGTATATCAATAGAGCATAATTAGTTTACTTATGAGCTAAGATATTTAGTGATTGAAGAAAACTTGTATGATTATAATCAAATAGACTATAAATCAAGTTCGAGATCACAATGTGATAAATTGATATGAGGATCGAATTGTATGAAAATCATTCTCATCAAGTTCGAGATCACATTATGATAAATTGACGTGAATATTGAATTGTATGAAAACTATTCTCGTGAAAAGGTAATTACGGATTATTAATCTTCCTAAGGAATTAGGTAGTCATGATGTCTTGCTAAATGTCGATCTTGATTTATATATTAAGAGATGAAGTGTCTTTTATCTTTTTGATATATTTTCAATATATTTAAGAGTCTATTGAGTCACACATATCGACTTAAACATTCACGCGATAAAAGATAAGCAATGGTTATTTGAAAAAGTTTTATATTTTGGAAAGTAAATTTCCTAAAATGGAAAGTCAATTTTCCATTTTAGAAATGAGTTTCTTAATTTGGAAGACGAGCTTACCTAAAAAGAAAATTAGTTTTCTAATTTAAGTTTAAGGCTAATTTAAAAAATTATTTTCTAATATGAGCTTCACTAAAATACTTGATCCAATTTATTAGGATGGTCCAAATTAATTGATAATTAATTAAGCCAAAAGAGTTTAGACCAATAGATGTAATTTAAAAGCTTGTAATATATTTTGGTGAAAAGATAAACTTAAGTACTATTGGATAAAGCTCAAGGTTTATATGGATAAAGTTAGACAAAACCTACACAAACAATATCTTCTTGACCTACAAGGAGAAATTGCCGCCCCTATAAATAAAAGAGAGAGAGACAGACAAAAACACATCGAAAAAGAAAAAAGAAGAGCACTCTCTCCCTTGAAAAATTCGACCAACTTCTCTCTCCTAATAAGGTTGGCGCAAATTATCCTAAAAGGATTTTTAGAGAAAATTCACTACGTAAAATAGTTGGAGTTAGCACACGACAATTTCGTTGCTTATAGTGTGAATGTCCGAGCTACGTGGATAATCAATAAAGGTCAAACATTTTGATGCTTCCTTTTCGCTTGAATTTTTTCTATGCTACAAGAGGTAATCACTCACTTTAATCTAATTCATGTTTATGTATGATTAGTTGATTCAACGTTATGATTTTGGGAACCTTAGATGGAGAAATTTGTTTATAAATGATTATTTATTTCTCATCTCTATATGATAGATGATCCAGAAATATATATATATATATATATATCACTAACAAATCATAAATACCCGAGGGACAAAAATTAGCGAGTAAATTATAAATTAGTCCCTTTAGTTTTGAGAAACAAATTAATTAATTCTCTTTATTTCAAAAACTAATTATTTAGTCTTTATATTTTAAATTTTATTGTAACTTAATCTTTTTTGTTCCTTTTTAATTTATTTTGATTTTTAATTTAAGAAATGAAAAATAAGTAAAAAAAAATATAGAAAGATTGATGAGAAAAAAATTATATTTTTAAAATAAATTAATATTAAATTAAAAGTGGCCAATATTGGTTAATGAATTAAATAATTAATTTTTTAAAAAAGAGACTAATTAATTTTTTTCAAAAAATAGAAGGACTAATTTATAATTTATTCGAAATTACAGGGAACATTAAGCCTAGGCCCGGCCTGGGCCAGAGGTGCACTGAAAGACAGGAAGGATAGACAGCAAAAATACAGGCCTTTAAATTAAATACATACACCAACCCACTTAAACATCTGGCGGACTAAACAGGTCGAACCCAACATTGACTCGTCCTAAATTTGAGAGAGAGAAAAACTGGTAGGGCAGAAGCAGCGGCGTATGATGATTTCCTAGGGAAAACACAGAAGGTCAAAAAGACCATCCCCTTTAAATGCGTTTATGACTAGCTGCACGTGTAAGTGTAACGTTTGGTTAATATCATCATTGCCTTCGTTGGGAAGAAATATTTGGGAGGTAGTGAGTATTTATCGATGGGTGGCCCTTCTGGACCATACTATATTTGGTTAATAGAACCCACTTTGAAGTGGTCCTCTTCTGCATCCAGTGTATCGAATAGACCATTCCTCCTCTTCACTTGAGGCTGGGGCAAGTTTGTATTGAGTTGCCATTATTATACAGTGTATCTGTTTCATTTTTTTTTAATTAATTAAAAATTTAGTTAGTTTTGTTTTATATTAATTCATGTTGTTTTTTAATTTTTAGTATAGATTCAAATTATATAATAAATAAATTAGATTGAGAATAAGTCTTGTCTAATATAAAGTTATGTATCGAATAAAATTGATCGGTATCTATATATTTTTTTAGAATGCATTAAAAATATTAGTTGATGGTTATTTCTATAATATTAATTTTTTATATTTTAACTAATCTATCAATCAATAGATTGATTAGTTTTTAAAAATTCTCTCTACGCATATGCAAACAAAAAGAAACTAAGTTCTCCGTATTGTTGGTCTAGGTTACACACTTAGATTTAGAAGCTAAAATCCGATCCATGGGCACGAGTTCTTGGCATCAAATTTGTATAACGATCATTTTTTTTTTCTTTAGAAATCTGTGAACTTCTGTTGTCTGGTTTTTTTATGTTTAGATTTTTACACGAAACATAAAAATCTGCATGTCATAAATTTCAAATTTTGACCATGAACGTTTTTTGATAATGACTATCGACTGTCTCTTGAAATCTGTAAATGCGGCAACTTAACAGCATAATTAAGCAAAGTACATCCTTAAAAGAAACAACAAAACAAAAGCTCTGTAACGCCAGCACGGAAGGGTTATGGACCACAAGCTGGTTTTGTCTCTGACAGGCTTTTTGTTGGACAATTCGCACGAATATCTCTTCACCCGTGGGCCTGTGGCTCTCAGCCCTACACGAGTCTACAGGGGTGAGATGCCGATGCAACAAAAAGCAGCCAACCAGGTTGATTTTCCTCGCCCTAGGACCCTAACTAGGCTCGGCATTACTGGTGGCCTTGCGAGTCACACTATTCCATAAACCGCATGGCTAAAAGCTTTAGCTTGATGCTCTTCCAACCTTTGCCCAAGAGACGGATTTAGGCATCATTACGCTAGTGATTTTATTCCTACGTTTCAGTCATAGCATCTCCAACGATTTATGTTTTTTTAATACAAACCGAGCTTAGAATTCGATAATTCTTAAAGAAGAGATACATAAACGATGGGTCATAAATTTATTGATTCAGGGAGCTAGAAAAAATAAAGCAATGCCCTTCGATTCTGGTCACAGAGACACCTCTATATCCAGAATATATAACATGGAGAGAACAATTCGCAAAAAAATAGGAAGTAAAGCTGGCTTTGATGACAAGAGCAAATGAAAGCATAACTAGTACTTTTTTTTTCTTTTTTCATCACCGTAAAAGATAATTTTTTGAACTAGTCTGCACCTTATTGAATATTGTATTGTTTTCTTGACGATTTTAAAAATACATTCTTTACGTGAGTCTAATATTCTTTATATTAAATTTTTTTACATCAATTTAATACATTCAAAAAAATAATCATTAAATACTGGTTTTGAAATTTGAATTCAAAAAATAAATTAAATAAATAACATTCTTAATCGTCAGATCTCTCTCCCATAAACAAATAAAAAGAATTAGCATCTTTGAAAACTAGAACCATCTCTTGCAAATTTGGCACTCCTTAATACTAATCGACAAAGAGTACCCAATAGAAATGTTGACAAAAAACAGAGAAATGTTCCCAAATGGCTTTGATAATTTGGTTTGTTTCAACAGTGCTGTAACATGAGGAGTTTTGCTTTGTTGGCGCAATTGCACGCAAATGCTCTGCTTATTATTATCTCTTTTGACTTCGAGACACCTTCATAATTAAAAGTGCGTGCATTGGTAGCATATAAATTGTGTCGAATGCGGAATTGATGCACCGACTGTTTATTCTTCAAAATTATTTCGAAAAAGCTTCTTACTGTCTACAGATAAGGTAATGCATGCTCCAGTTTAGGAAACATTATCAAGATGTAATTGCAATTTTTTTCTTAAGGAATTGAACTCAAATTAAAAAAAAAAAAAAGAGGCTAAAAATGAACAAAAGTATTTAAATATATCAGTTAATAACAAAAAAAAAAAAAGATAATCCAAGAAAACCCTAAGAGAATAAATCCTTACTGTCCGTCCATGTCCATGGTTAATTTTATTTTCTCGTTTCACTTACAGTAGAGAAATTCATGAAAATCTACCGCTTATTCTGTTAATTGTTAAAGAAGTGCATATTGTCCTCGATCACGACACGAATGCATGAGAAAATGGGAACCGTATCCTGTTCTTTTACCCTCGGAGTCGGTTGCTGTAAGAAACTCCAAGTCACCTATTCCACCTCAACCTAAAAGCTCAGGTGGCTAGAGTATAGGGGGAAAGGACAATAAACTAACAGAAAATAACAGGGGAAAGGCCAGAAGTCCCCAAATAAAGTTAAAAGTTTGAGTCAGACATTGCACAGAACTTGAAACGCAAGTAGAAGCAAGCACCACCTCTGGCTACAACTCACTGTAAAGAAAAACACACACACAGAGACAAAAAACTTCACTCAAACTAAAATAGCAGAGCAAGCCGGATGAGTGAAACAGAAAAGAACACGAAGTTAGGAGCTTGAAGAGAGACATGGAAAGAAAAGAAAAAGATGTGGAGAGAGAAGTGAAAGGCAAAAAGAAAGCAGGAGAAATATTGAAGAGTAAAAAAGAGTTGAAAGGAGGGATGGTACTGCAGGTAGGGAAAAGAGGAGGCCCATCTACTCCATCACCCACTTGGAGACTTGAGTTCTCTTCTCCAAATGACAACAACAACAACAACCCCGTTCAAGAATTCCTCAATACTACCACTACTGTCTCTGCTAGAAAGCTGTGTGCCAATTTTTGGGAGATTCAACCACAAGTTCACCTTTCAGTGTCTAAAATGAACAAGAATCTTGGTCCTGGAAGAGCTCGCCCTAGAAACAACCGAAAAGACAAGAAGGTCTTTGAGTTACGTACTCATTTAGTTGGTCCTCCTAATAGCCCCCCTGATCAGGTTTAACTATCTCTTAGTATTTTATTTCTTTTCGTTTTTTATTTTTTTTATTTTCATTTTCATGGGGTTTACGACTAAGTAGAGGGGGGGGGGGGGATGGGGTTTTGGATCTTTTGATTTTTTATTTTATTTTTAATTTTGTTTTGTGATTGGTTGGTATATCTATTGGTGTTTTTCTCTGTCTTTACCAACTTTAATTGATTTTTGTTGGTTTCTACTTGTTAATTGGTTGGGGGGTTTTTGCTTGCATGCTTGTTTGTCTTGTGCTTTGGTTGGTCTGTTTTCTTCATCTTTTAGTAGTATATGATTGACATTTTAGTTGAGGAACTGTCAATTATTGCAGAAAATAGCATTATTTGAGTCTGATGACTTGGGTGCTGATTTTTTTTTCCCCCTTGTTGCCTTTGGCTTTGTTACTCGCAGACTGTCTTTCCTAAAAACATTTTTTAATTGCTTTATTTTATGTTTTCTATTCTTGTGCTGGTGGCCCATATGTGTTCTAGGCATGCTCGAATTTGTTAGTTTATGGTTGGGTTTAAAAGTTTCTTCTTTGAGGCCTGGTGACTTCATGTTCCTAAATGCATCTTCTGGACTCCAAATTGAGTTTCTGTCTGTGTTAGTGGCTTCTGTAGTTTCAACCTTTACTTCTAGGTAATATCATTACAACACGACATGCCTCCATCGTCCTAATTTTACTGGGATCTCCTCCTCATAATTCTAATAGGCTCTGCTTGTTGATGTCTTGGTGGTTCTCTTTTTTTTATTTTTAACTTGCTTTTTGTTGGTTATGCTATTAGCTATTGTCTAGTACCAGATTCCGTTCTTCCTTGAGTGCAAATTTGCGGGCTACTTGCTGTGATAGTCTTAATACGAGAGTGTCAGTACTTAAAAATATGATTCTTTGTTATATGGCTGGAATTGAAGTGTCTACCTTCTTCTCGTAACAGATCAAATGTTTGAGTTGATAAATTGTCTCTGTTTCTTGTTTTGGTGGAATACAGTTCATTAAATATATTTTATCATTGATGGTAGTTTTTTTCTTGGAGTTGAAATTCCTTCTTACACTGGACGAGCAAGAATAAGTTGGAGTTCCTGTTTAACATAGGAGTTGCTGTCAATATCTAGGGGAATTTTTTTTTTCTTCAGGAAATGAGGCTTTTGCATACCGTGTAAACTGATTCTTACCCTAACAATAAAGTAGCTTTGAGTATTATAATTTTCGCAAAGTAGCTAATCCTTACGCTAACTTTTCCAGCCAGCAAGTGCAAGTCCATTGAGGAAACATGTTACTGCATCACTGATACAACACCATCGACCAGCTGAAAGAAATGGTAATTCTCTACGGCCACTATCACCTGCAAGTTGCAATAGCTCAATGGAGGTAAATACATGTTCTCCTCACTGTATCCCTCTGCAATGTTTCTGTTGATTTCTTGCATATTGGAAATTAGGAAAAAAAAAAAAAAGGAATTAAGTATCCCATGAGTTTTTGTAGATTCGAGCAACCCACCGAAGTTCGAAAGTGACTTCTACTACAGTTTTCCTCTATGTACGAACCATGGAGTAACAGTGGGAATCTAAATTTGGTAATTGTCTCATGTGTTAGATATAGACGTACAAGATGAACTTGGGTGCTATTGCTGCATAAAACAAACAGTTTAAATAAAACTTAAAACGGATCCAACTATGTAATACCTGTATTTTGAAAATTGCGTCTCCAGAAAGTCAAGGAAACTACTGAAGTGCTGTTTATCAGGCATGTTCAAATAAAACTGGAGACTACTAAAGTGCTGTTTTTGGCATCTCAATTCATGAACAGAAGAAAGTCAAGGACCCAAAACTATAGTTGTCATACTAGAGTCGAAATGATGAAGTAAGCATTTTATCTTGTTAATGGTTCTCATTTAAATTTAACTTGCTGCTGATGAGGACGCTGTATGTTTATAAGTTGAACTCCATGAGAAGTTCTTTGCTTAGCATCACCATTTCTTTTATTATTATTATGATTCCCTGAATTATTTCTCTGTTTGTTTTCTCCTGTTTGTATTTCTTTAACAAATTTAGGAGTGGCTCCTTTCCACAGGTGGCGCCTTATAACCCTGCAGTTACCCCTGGTAGTTCTTCAGATTTTAAGGACTGGATGGGAGAGTCAAGTTATAGTCTCAAGACATCAACGGAATTGCTCAAGGTGCTCAATCGGATCTGGAGTCTTGAAGAACAGCAAGCATCCAATATGTCATTGTTAAGAGCTTTAAAAATGGAACTGGATCATTCTCAGTCACAAATAAAGGAGTTGCTGAAAGAGAAGCAAGCAAATAGGAAAGAAATGGACCACTTAATGAAGAAACTTGCAGACGATAAAGTTGTCAGGAAGAACAAGGAGCAAGATCGAATCAAATCTGCTCTTCAGTCGGTGCAAGAAGAGCTGGGAGATGAGAGGAAGTTAAGGAAGCACTCAGAGAGCCTCCACCGGAAGCTAGCTCGTGAACTTTCTGAGGTAAAATACTCTTTCTCTAATGCTTTAAAAGAGCTTGAGAGAGAAAGGAAAGCATGTTTTTTGTTGGAAAATTTGTGTGATGAGTTTGCCAAGGGAATAAGAGATTATGAGCAAGAGGTGCGGTCCCTTAGGCACAAAGCTGACATGGATAGTGTAGGTAGGGAAAAACCTGACCGGTTGGTTCTCCATATTTCAGAAGCATGGCTTGATGAGCGGATGCAAATTAAACTAGCAGAAGCTGAAAATGATCCTGTTGAAAAGAATACAATTGTTGACAAACTAGGTCTCGATATTGAAAACTTTCTTCAAGCTAGACTCTCCATTGAATTGAAGAAAGATGGTAGCTTTGGAGAGGGAATAAAAAATTGCTCACAACGGGAATCCTTTCTGTTGAATGAGGCTGCGAGTGCACCTCAAGATGCAGCCGATGAAGATTCTACTGACAGTGATTCGCATTGTTTTGAACTACACAAGAGTGCAAGTAAAAGACAAATTATAGGCAACTCTAAACAACAAGTAGATTATGCTTCAGAAATTCAACTTGAAAAAATGGTGAATTCAAATTCTACGAATAGAATGGCTGGATCAAGGGACAATACTAAGTTTCATAACCCAGCCAATTTCCAGATGCAGTTTGAAGAACACATGGCTGGAAACAAAAACCGATTTCCAGATAGAGGGCAGAGTGAATCAAGGGGAGAGAGCCAAGTTATATCCAATATCTACGAAGCCAAACAAGCTGGTCAACATGAAAGGAAAACTAAACTGGTTGGGATCCATGGATTGAACTCAAATTATGTGCTTGATACCCTAACAAGAAATCACTCCTTGTCATCTGAGGGTGATAAAATTCATCCTGTCAGTGATTTCAAGGAAGATGCTTGTGCTCAACCTGTATTTGTTGGTCATGCTAGTCCGGTGCAACAATGGATGTTGAAGTTAACATCCCCAGAATTTGAGAAGTCCGAATCTTCCTTAAAACTAACTAGGGACTTGAAGGAAAATACACTGAAGGCAAAGCTACTTGAAGCAAGAATGGAGGCCCAGAAATCTCGCTTAAGGGCTTCTAAAGCTGTCTTTTAGTTTGATGGGGAGAGGTGGATATGCCTGAAGTTAGAATCTTCTCTATAAGAAACTCTGTACGGAAGTAGTGTCCGAGATCTTCCATGTCACATATTTTGTTCTTCAACATTCAAAATAAATGGTACGTCTATTATATTTCTTTTTCCCTTGCAAATTTTGGAATTATGTTTGTAGTTGGAAATGTATCTGTTCTGCGGTGATCACACCAATGAGCCAGAATCTATCCCCACTCGAACCTGAAAGTTATCCCTCAAGCTTACAAAATGTTGGCCAAATTTACTTTCAAAATTGTAGTTACTTACATTTGCAGCATTTGTTGATCCAAAGTAGGGGTTCACACACACACACACACACACACACGAGTGAACACATGCACGCACAAGCTCATGCACTCATGCCCATGGATCCAGAGACAAGCACACAAAAAGAACGGATGCCCATGGATCCAGAGACAAGCACACAAAAAGAACGGTCACATTACATTGTTTTTATTGTAATCTGCAGCCTCTTTCTAAATATTGAGTCTTCATGAGTTGGTAAATACCATTACCTAACACCTAACGGATTGAGCTGAGGGGCCCGGATGCCTGCACAACAGCTGCTCGTTTTAACTTCAAAAAACTAGTTGCTTTGTTGCTATTGAATTATAATAGTTTTTCTTGGCCTTATAATCGGTGTCCTAGCCAAATGTTTTGCTGTTGGCTTTTGTGATTTTAGATTCATGGTGGATATGAGAACTGTTCCTAAACTCATGTAGGCTAGAATAATCGTGACAGTTGCTTATGAATGATTGGCTTTTGATTGATGCGTTAAAAAATTATACACATTAAACTATAGCACTTGCACTTGCTAATTATGTTTGAACTTTTTATCCTGATTTACCAAGTGAAAAAGCAGCTGGCCTTCACACACCATCTTCGATATAGTACTTCGCAAGAACATAACAAACATCCATGTGAAAGAAGCTACAGAATTCATCATCCTTTCCTCTAATGGACTTAAATTTTTTTTACAACTTTCCATTCAACTTAAACAGTAGTACAAACTAAAGCCTATAAGAAAACCGAACGGAAAAGCTTAAAAATCCCGGGGAGTTGGCATCTCAAAGCGGCGTATGGGGCAGTAATGACTTTTATGCAACCACTTATCAACGCAGCTCCCCGGAAATATATGTGAACAGGGCATCCGCTTGACCAAAGACGTTGCCTGAAAGTCCTCCATACAGACAGCAACTCTTCCCATCGTGATAATCCTCTACGTCAAAAACCATCATTCTTCCTCTCCAAATTTTGAAACCCGCAAAAGGGTCGCCGGGACTGTGGTTTTCCACCAGTACGTGGTTTCCAAACACATATCGAACTTGTATGATCAACTACCCGCCTGGTGAAACTTTTCTGCTTACAACATCACGGTCTGCGACTCTGCCTGACTAAATTATTGGTTTAATGGCAAAAATTATGGGTTTTCCCTCCTATGACCCTCTACTCTTTGAAATTTTTTTTATGAAGATTACTTTTTTTAGTTTAATTGAGACTTTTTACTTTTCATTTAGTTTTAGTTGAACCTTTTATTACCATGTTATCTATAATTAATTTGACATGATATGTTATTGTTGGACTCAATCAATGAATGATTGACATGTGATATTGTGAATCACACCACATAGTGAAAGATTTTATAAAGATATTAATCAAAACTAAATGAAGAATAAGAGATCTTAATCAATCCAAAAAGAACAGAGTCTTCAAATTTTTAGTGCATTATCATAGGCAAATGCATAATTGATGTTAAAATTTAATATGTGGTGGCAATTAATGGCAAGTTTGGTATAGAAAACTAAGGAAGAATGAAGGGTTGTACTGTCTTTCTAGCAATTTTGCATTCTTTGTGATAAAAACCAGGCAATCAGTCATCTCATGGCTACATTATGTTACATTTTCTTCTCGGTTATCAACTTCATTATTTCTTAATTCACTCATCATCATTTTTTTTATTTATTGGGTGTTTTTTTTTTGAGTTTTATTGCTATTAATGTCATTCTTAAATTAGTTGCTTGTTACAACTTTTACAACTCTTTTATTCATTTATGATTAATTTGTTTGATAAATAAATTGGATTAGAACGCACCAAAAGCCATATTATTATGAATTTGAGTAAGAGTGATACTAAATTTTGTTTTATTTTCTTTTTATTACAAATTTGAGTAAAAGTGGTACTAAATATGAGTAAAAAAGGCACTAAATTTTGTTGAATTTCGAGTCTTCCTAGGAATTAATTACATTTTTGGTTTACTAATTATTTTTTTTAATCAAGTGTGTATTTTTTAAAAATTTTGTTATTTAAGTAGACCAAGTTGTAATTTTTTTAATCAAATGTTTCGGTTAACTTGCGTTAATTTTATGCTTATGTGATTGTTAACCGCACATATGGCACCGATATGTAGCCGTTACGATCGCTTTTTTTTTTTCACAAACTTATCAATTTTTTTAATTTAAGTGTGTAAACTTTGATATTTGCTATTTGAATGCACTAACTTATAATTTTTCTATTTAAGTGGTTTTACTAATTCAAGATTGATGTGTTTGTTAACCGCACATGTAAAATCGTGATGTAGGCTTGATTATCAAAGTTTGTGTTCAAAAAATTACTACTACAAAAATGAGAATGGATCAAAAAATAAATATATAAAATTAATTAAGAAACTTTTCTAATCAACCCATCGTATCCAACCTAAATTTAAGTCATCCTTCACTCTAAATTTAAACTCAATTTTATATTATCATATTCCAAACAACAACCATTCTTAGTTGTTATGCCGAGAATGGAATGAATTGTTGTTTTGGTGAATGAACACAACTAAACTTTTATGTTTTAATTTTCAATCCTTTTTCTTGCGTTTAAATATATCTAGGTAATTTGTTTGTTTTAAAACAATACTTTTCCGTAAAAGTTCTACATATTTTATTGTTATTATGTAATTTATTTCCCTTTATTATTGTTTTCTAATAATAAAAATGAATCATTCCTTTTTAATTCTTTTTATTTGTCATGTGTTTTGACAATGGACTCACATTACGATTTTATGTGTCGGTGGACATGTACATCGACCTAAAGTTAACAAAATTATTCAATCTAAAAAAATTATAAGTTAGTACACTTAAATAAAAAAGATCAAAGTTTATACACTTAAATAAAAAAAATGATAAGTTTATACGAACAAACCGACAATGGAACCCATATGTCGATGTTACGTGTGCAATTAACGACCACATGAGCATAAAATTAACAAAAGTTAATGAAAACGCATGATTAGAAAAAATTACAACCTAGTCTACTCAAATAACAAAGATTAAAAAGCATACACTTGATTAGAAAAAACTAACAAGTTGGTGAATTAAAAATATAACTAACTCTCTTACAAATATTGCAAACTTGTTAGACACGATAAGATGGTCGAATATGTTATATCTTTGAGATAGCATGTAACATGTACTTGATCTCGTTGCAATAAAATTTTCTAGAGACAACACTTATTGTCTAAAAAAGCAATATGCCTTAAGGCAATCACTTAAAAAATAAAAAAAATTATTATTTTGTTATTTTCCACATTCTTGATTTCAAGTGATATTTAATTCATGTTCAACTTGTTCAATTACGATGAATTTGATGGTTCAATCATCTTTATACCATGAAACTATGGTATTATGATTTTAATCTCAAATTTTTTTAATGATCAAGGTAAAAAATTTAATTCTTTATTTATCTTAATTTATGATGAATTTATTTATTTATTATATGTTTTATTTTGTTTAATTATATTCTTTCTTAAATGTTAGGAACAACATTTCATATTTTGCATATAAAGAAATAATTAATTCAACTTTGTCTTTTTTATACTCCCACTAGAAAGCTATATAATTTTTTTATCCTTTTTTTTTTTTTTGCATTATAAATTTGGATAAGAGTGGTAATATATTTTTTGAGTTTCAAGTCTTACAAGTAGTATAAACTTGTTAGACACAACAAAGTGACTGATTTTATTATATTTTTAAGAAAGCATATAACATGCACTCGATTAGTTACATCAAAATTTCCTACGGATGGCGTGTATCGTCTCAAAAAAAAAAAAATCTAGTTGTGTTTAAAGACAATCTTCTAAAAATTTTAGTAAAATTATTTTGGTATTTTTCAAGTCCATGATTGATTTAGATAATATCCTTTTCCAACACTAATCGATATAAGAGACTATTAACCGAAAAAACTAAAACAAAATGAAATTCATTGTTCACACACCGTGCACTCTCTCTATTTTCATTATTCATTTACTCGTTTACTCTCTCTAAGATCACTATTCATTTACTCGTTTGCATAAAAAAAAATCAATTTGGTCCCCTTTTTTGTAACAACGTTTTTTTATCTTTTGTTTTGGTCCCTACATCCTAAGATGAGAGAGAAAAGAGGGAGAGAGAAGGTAGGAGAGATGGACGATCGGCAAGACTCATTCCGGTCACCCTCATAGTCGATTTTACCACCAATTTATTTGTCTTGAAGAGTAGAATACGTTCATGGTTGTGACAAGCTATAAAATGGTAGGAGGAGGTAGATTGGAAGCTTGAAATATTTTGAGTTTTTTATTTTTTATTTGAATTTTTGTGTGAATTAAAATGGATTTTAAGGTTCTAAATGAGTTTTTTTTTATAATGTTATTTCAATGATTTTGAGGTGTTTTTGAATAAAAACAGGGTTGAATTTAGTTTTAAAAGGCCAGAAATCATAAAATCCAAATTTTCGATTAAATCGGTCATCGAAGAACGCAGAGATTGCCAAAAAAAAAAAAAAAGATGAACCTTTATTTATTTATTTTTTTTGCCCAAGCTCACCACCAGCCCGGCACATGAGCCTGGTCCTTCAGGCCTAGGCGTGTTGGCTTTCTTCCTATTTTTTTTCTTTCTTTAATTTTTGGTTTTTTTCTTTTCTTTAATTTTTTTAATTAAGATTTT